TCGACTTATCATTCAATATATGAAAGTTGGAATAATATATATATATATATATATATTTTTTTTTTTTTTGGGCGGGGGGGGTCTTAAAGTGTCTTTCTGTTATTTATTCATTGATTTTTAACTATATTGTGCATTTAGTATAGTTTTTGTGGTTTAAATTTGCTTAAGCGATATTGTGTTAGTGGCATAAATTCATTTCAATATTATGATTTATTGTCTACATTTAATTCAGCAAAAAAACTAAAATCGTACTTCAGATTTTGGTCTAGAGAGACTTGATACTAAAGACACTTGATATTAAGACTAAATGATACTACAGAAAGGGTTCCCACTCTTTTTTACTGACAAAATTTCAAAACTTTTCCATGACTTTTTCATGACCTAAAGTGAATTTTCCATGACTTTACGGCACCTAAATGTGTAGAATTGATCATATTTTTAGAGCTAAATATGAAATGTTAACCCTTTCCACTCACCTTATGGTTTGATATTATGGTTTTTTAACATTCAAAATACTGTCAGTGAATTTATTGTCGTCTTTTTTAAACAAAAGGCGCATATGTTTGAAAATCATCATAATAGCCTAATGAGAACTTAACAGAACGCTGTAGTTGTGTGAAAGAGATACTAAAATTCCATGACTTTTCCAGGCCTGAAAAATGACAGTTTCAATTTCCATGATTTTTCCAGGATTTCCATGACCTGCAAATCCTTTTTCCAGGATTTCCATGAACCCTGTAAAGACAATTTTAACCCAGTTTATGTACTCTTACTAGCTTTTAAATTATTCAAATCTAGAGCAAGGTTATACACATTACTACAGATCTACACATTGGAGGCCTCGGGGCAGGTGAAGAGTTCAGCAGGTGTGCAGCGCTTCCAGATTCTTAATGTGAACAGTAATAATGAGTTTGGCGGTAACCATTTAAAGAGACACTCACATTTAATGGGAGCCTCAAATGACTTGGCCACAGTCACCATCACGTTTGTCCCAAACACCTGAAAAACAAATCGTGGGTTTAGTTCAAAGTCCAGATCAGTGTTCAGACACAAATAAAGTCAGGATCATTTAAGTTCAAATCAGTCGTTATTGTGAATGTCATAGTAGGGTGATAGAATTTTAGAAACAACTGTATCTGAGATGTGTGTCACTATTTAAAGAAGTGGACGAAGGGAGTGTGATGTCAGGTCCATATTAGGAATAGGAATTCACTGATGGACAAAATAGAGAAATAAAAACACCAAGATCATGCAGAGCAGGTTAATATGAACATTTTAAGACCAAAATTATGAGGTTCACTGCAGCAGTTACAGAGAGAGGTGTGACAATTTTTCAATGTAAAGTCAATTGGAGCCAGAGTCGATGGAGCCGGAAGCGCCCCCATGCTCACTTCCTATTTGGAACGCAGCGGCTAGCGGGTTAGATCTATCCATTTATATTTACAGTCTATGGTCAAACTGGAAAGAACACTGACCCAGAAGACGTCGTAGACAAACAGCCCCCCCAGCAGGATGCAGCCGGTACTGACGTTGTTGAGGTGCAGCAGCTCGACGCCATTCAGGGCAAACGCCAAACCAAACAGGTTATTGGCTATCCAGTGCTGTAACATCAAACGAGAGGAGAAAGATGATTGGGTGTGATAAAGGTGAGCTCTGTAACTTTTCTGGTGAAGTGTAAGCTATCTGATTGTCTCCATGGAGATGCTGTTGCTTTAATACATCAAGCATTAACTCAATTACAGGTGTTTTTATTGCTCAGATCTGACTTGTAATTTGGCTTTGTGGAGGCACCTGCTTGTCACTTTCCAGGCAAAGCAATAACATCTCCATGGAAACAAGATGCACTCTCCACCAGAAAAGTTACACAGTGCACTTTTAAAACACTTTTATTAACAATTATTTGGAATGAACGTGTTGCTCAAATTTATAAGTCAAATTACGCACCTTCTTGAGCAGGTACCACACCCCGACCACAGAACTGAGCAGCAGACACACCAAACTCTTTGTGTCAAATTCATAATTCAGGATTTCTGAAACAAAAACAAGACCACCACTCTGTTATGACCTTTTTCATAGATGAGGGTAGTTAGAAAATTCATATACACAAACAAAAAAACAGTACCTAATCTAGAATACAGCTGAATTGATTAAAGTGCGTACGACAGATTGACAAATTTTTTTAAGTTCTTGTATTTAAGATTTTACAAAAAAATTTAAAATTGCTAAATTTGGCAATTTTTTAAGGTTTAAAAGTGTTTACTTTCTGGTTGGAAATAATCACATCATGCTAGGGAATTTCTAGCAATGTACACAGTGCCAAAACTCCTCTAATGTACACAGAGGTTAATATTTGACAAACAACTTTTATCTTGTTTGAATTATCATTCAAGTAGCAGAAAAAAAAATCTTGTGTAAATTGTATAGAGCTTTTGCACAGACTTCTCCCCAGTGTGATGTTATCAATATAGAACTGTCTAAAATCTAACTCTCGACTTCCTGTAATTTTCAACATATTTTTCAGCTTTTCTACACAATTTGCTTCTTGATCAGTGTAAAACTATCATTTATATTTGTCCTGGTACTCACCCTCCTTATTCTCTCCTGTGCCCTGGGTAAAAAGGAGCTGGTACGGTTTGTTTGGGAATGAAGCTGGAAAAACTGAAGAGATCAACGGGCTGAAAGAGGAGAGAACGTACGCTTAAATTCCAAGTTAAATTTTAAATAGTCACATTTTTATTTAGTGCTTTTCCACCTTCAAGGCACGCAAAGCACTTTCCATCAATGAACCACTCACACAATCACACACACATTCTTACACTAGTGTACACAGACACTAGGGGTGAGCTGGGTTAAGTGCCTTGCCAAAGGACACAACTACAGCATTAATGTGTAGGGCTGGAATTGCACTGCCAACCTGTGAGTCAGTGGATATGAACACTCTACCAACTGAGCCTCTGTTGCCAAGTCAGTTTTAATTAGTTGTTGGAGCCGAGTACTGACCTAATGGTGTGAGACAAAGCGAGAACTCCCAGGACGAAGAAGTACAGGGAAAGGAGCAGGTTGATGTACTCTTGAGAGAACAGCTGAAATGGAAAGAAAATAGATAGTTAGGTAGGGCTGTGCAGTTTTAATCGAGGTCGAGACTCTGTCATTTCTAACTGGGGGATAACTTTGGGCTTTTTAACTGTAGAGGTCCACGGACAATCCTTTGTCAGTAAAAACATGAGATTTGGAACAAAGTTCAGATTTTGGAAAAAGAAAATTGACTTTTTAAAATGTTAAATGGCCTATAGTACATAACATTTCTGATGCTATAATGCTGTATCTTCATCAAAAACATACCTGGAGTTGAGTTTTGTTTCATTCACACATGTTTACACACAAAAAATCTGCATATTTAGGCTGTGTGTTGCCAGTCTCTACTGAACCAAAAGTAAAAGGTAGCTGCTAACTTGAAAACTGCTTGAAAACCACTTCATGACATCACAAGGAGGAAGAGAGCATTATTTTAGAGCTTTAGAGATGTAGATAGCCTAATACTGAAGAGTCAGTTATGTAATATAAGACCTTTAAATGGTCAGCATTGTTTATGTTCAGGAGATTAGTATTGAAGGCCACTTTTATTAGTTTTTAGCCAGACAAAATAACTCTGAAAAATGTTGTACTTTTTTGTAGATATAATGTACATACTTCAGCCAGTGAGGTTCACTTGTACTAATCATCACTAATCATTCACTTGTACTAATTCACTTGTAGTAATCCATGTGACCTGTACCTTTTATTTATTTGTCGCACACACACACAGGCACGTGGTGAAATTATTATGTATCTCTAACAACATAATGCAAACAAAGAAACTCCAAAACTGGGCTTATTATAATGTCCAGCCAATATGGTGTTCTAAGCTATTTTAATCACGCAGAAGACTACCCAGAATGATGAAAAATGAGGACCGTTGCCATGGGGATTAACAATTTACAGCAAAAGACTATATATATTGAATGTAAAAAAGTCAGCTCAAAATGTTGTAAATACGAGGGAGTTGAAACCCATGTTTGTAGGCTAGAGCTATGCTGTCACAAAGAATAAAAAAGTTCTTTTCTAAACAATTTTATAATTTGTGAAAGAAAATATTTGACAAAAAATATACATACAATAAATGCGTTTATAGTTAATAAGGCTTATAAATTATGCAACCCACATAAACCAAGTGAGAAATGATTCAAGACTTTTCTCATTTGTTCATTCTGTGGTCTTGTATGTGACCACAGCAGTTGTTGCACACTGAAGCACACTGTTATGAGTAACCATTGCTATATTTAGTAGTATTAATTTGTTGAGTCGTACTTTAAAGAACAGGTAGAGTCCAAAGAGGGTACAGCTGGCGATGATGGGGAACCGTGCTGCATCTCGACTCGTGATGGTCTCCGGCATTTCCCCTCCATTCTGTCAAAAGAAAAGAAAGCTTCATGTTTCAAGGATTTTGTCAAAGTAAACACCATTTTAAAACTCTCTCCTGTAAAATTCTCCCTCTATCTCAGAGAAAATGTCTGACCCCTGTAATTTGGGGAATGCTCAGTTTAAAAGCAGTTTTTTCTATACGCTGTCACTAGGCAACACTAATTCACGTTGATCATTCTTCAAAATGGAACTGAAGATTTTTGTCTTGACTCTGTAAAAGACTACTGTTTAAAGCACTCACTACTGGCATCTTAGAACAGGAGATGAATAATAAAGAAGTGAGCTCCATGTGTTGTGACTAAAAACACACAGGCCATCTATCTTTCATTGACAGCACATCATGGGTAGAGCTGTAATCGGCTAAAGAAATCCATGGTCAAGAAGAGAAGACCTGTTCAAGGAATCGATTAGTCGATTACAGGGAGCATGGCAAAAGCTCCCAAAACTATTATGTACCCGACTGCACTCACAACTGCACAGGAAGTCATGCAAAAACAACTACAGACAAATGTGCTAGAAAACAATAAGACAGATAAAATGTGACCTTGGGTTTAATCTGCATTTTTCCATATAAATATCAATAAATTAATCTTCAGATAATCTTCACTTCTTCTTTCTGTTGTTGTCTATATACAAATCCTTCTCAAAATAATGATTAGTCACCACTGATTGATTACCTGACTAAACGAATAGGCCTAGAGCCTACAGGCATTGTCAAGTGAGGTGGCACCAGGCGCCCAAATTCACAGCTGAAGAACTGGAGGTAGTCAGCCTGACCCACCAGACTCTACACTGTGTATTATACACATCTTTGATCTCGTAAGGCTAGAAGTTGGAGAGTTCGTCAAGTCTTGAGCGCTGTTTCCAACTACAAGTCAAAGTTGGGAACAATATTAGTGGAGCAGTCTGAAACTGTCTTTCCAAACTTAAAGTTAAAGTGAATCCATGCTGCACTAAAAACAGGCTGCACAAACAGTGACTGTATACTGGTGAGTGGGTTAGGACTGCGCTCTGCCTCAAATAGGTTTCAACTGCACATTCAGTGGACTCTGCATCTTCTCTGTACTCACTCTGAAGCCTTGGTCCTCCTCCTGCTCCTCACCACACCACTAAAGTAACACAGAAATACAGAACAGGACAGATGACAGAGAGAGACAAGGAGAGATATCAGGAAGGATAACAGTTGCTGACTTTCCCTGCATTATTTCTCCGTAAACTTTGCATCTGGAACTATTTCTATTAAAAGTTAAATGAGTCAGTCGCCCTTTGTGGGCAGAAAACAGAAATCAGCTTAGAGGGAGCTTACAGAGGGTATCTGAAGGGCTGAAATATGAGGTCATTTGGATAAAGTGGTGTCAGTCAAAAGCGGAAGCAGGCCCAAGCGCATCAGTGGGCTGCAGGTGAAGCCCACACGTGGGTCATTAGCAGGAGTTTATTCAGAACACTGTGTTCTCTGAACGGCACCGATCTCCCTAAACCTGCTGTTTCAACAGATACCCCCACTCTGACCACAGGGTTTCGTTTCGTTCCGGATGCGCGCCTTACAGCGGTGAAACCTGTCACATCTGGCCCCAAGAGCGTCAGACACGGAGCCAACAGGCCGGGAAACTCACTCCTGTCTCCACAGGCGCAGGTGGTCCAGATCCAGGTCCAGGTCCAGGACGCGCTGACGTTTCATAAAAACATCAGCTGAGCTCGGCACCATAGACCAAACAACAGGAACAAAAGCCGCGCCGCCAGCAGGATCCCACTCCGTTTGTTTGTGGGCCGTGTAAAACCGCTTCGACAACATAAACATCACGTTAAACACGAGCGAGACCGAAGTACCCGCGCCAGCTGTTTCCTCTAACCGACACAGGCGACACGTTAACACGTTTACAGCCGTTAAGTTCCCAACAACAGCACACAGACGGGCATTTGTGGTCTGTCTCTGCTCCAGAGCCGGGGCCTCTCTAAAAGCTCACCTTAGACTTGGAACAGCGCACAGAGCGCAGGGCACCGAAGAAGATGGGCAACAGGGCCATGAAGAGCAGGCTCCCGTAGGCCAGCGCCGTGCCCTCCGGTGTGGCCGTGAACCGGACTGTGGCGTTCAGCGCATCGCTACCATTACCGGCGCTGGAGTTCAGGGCCTCGGGGAGAGACTCTGGGACCGACTCGGGCACAGGTTCGGCAGCAGACATGATTATGCTTCATTCATCTACTGAAGAATACTGTGAACGCGCACTTGCGGCGTGCACAGCGCCGTAAAGCCACGTTTCCTTACGGCTCAGAGATATGCAGTGATAGTATGAGGTCTCACTCTGAGAAGAAGACCGTGAACAAACTGCGACTGTAGATCCAAGATGTCCTGCTCCAGAATCAGACGTTAGTGCCGTGGGAAGTCTAGGGCCTGCTTCAAACAAGATCGAGATATTTAACTAGTCAGACAAACAGTCCAAGGTTTTACTTAGTTTATTGTGAAGAAAATAAAGAGAATCTTTGCTCCGCCGAGAGAGGGCTCTTTCTAAACTATTTATCTCTGTGAAACCTCTTGTTCGTGGGTCTGCTCCGTGTGTCTCATCACCTCCACAGCGCCACCCACCGCAGACATGCGTCATTTATAACACTAAACAATACTGTGAACGCGAGTTTTCAGACCACAAGGGGGCGCGTGATGACAGATTTACATTCAAATTGGGCCCTTCGCCTCTTCCTTTTATTGATTGTAAATTAAATGTTCAGTTAATATTATTATAGTCCATATAGTATAAGTATAATGGTTTAATTCAATATTTAGCTATATGATCATTTAGATAGACATTTCGATAGAAACATGCAAATTCGTACAAAACATTGAAGAACGTATCCCACAATTAACTTATAAAACACAAAAACACACTAAAACATTGATTGCTGTTTTTGCTCTTTTTGAAATTCTTATTTAATGCCACCCCATTCTAGAGACGGTGAGCATTTATATTTCCCTCGGCAGCTTGCTTAATGGTGCCTGATCCAAGAAAAGTGGGACTATAACCATAAGGGCGGCTCAGGACAGCACACATGTCCAACAGAATTTTTGATGTGGGAACTAAAATAATGCTACTTGATCTAATTCATAAGACTCTAGTGGTGTGTGCACTAACAAACAAATTATAGAAATCTTCAGAGTAAACAGATTTTGAATCATTTTAGTGATGCTTTGCTTATATATTCAGGTTGCAATGTTTGGATTTTAGGACACAGTTTAAAACACAAATCCAGTATAATGTTCAGGGTTTCATATTAAAAAAGGCTACTTGAAGAAGATGCTCAGATAAAGAATATTTTATTTAAATGAAATTCATTAAAAGTTGTTCAAATACATATGTACAGTCTAAAAACAAACAAACATGTTTGCTCTGATCCTGAGAATATTTAGCAAAAATAAAATAATGCAACAATGGCAAAAATATTTCTGAATTGTATCTGGAAGTGAAAATATTGTGCTAAAAGAAAGCTACAAGTAAAAAAAAGCTGTAATATAAAAGTAATGGATGTGAATCATGTGTCAAGTACTTAATCTTTTTCAAAAACAGTGCTATACAGTCTTTGAATTGTATCCATTGAGTCAGTAACTCAGGAAATCACAAATACTTTTAGTTTTACTTTGTTTGGTTGTTGTAACACACTCTTTTTGAATGTGTGTGTTGCTTTGATAATTTATGAAACTCTCATAATATTAGGCGAGGGGGAGTCACAGGTTTAACAAGAGGTGCAGGCTCAGCAACAGGAAGTAGAGGGACTGAGTCTGTAGCAGAGATGTCACCGAACTCTTCAAGTCCACTTCGATTGGGAAGTGGTCACTCACCTCCACCAACTGTGATCAAAGCACAGGAACACAGTGATCAGGCAATGAAACTGGACACACTTTTTTCAAGGAGGTCTGTATGATTAGCTTTGACTTGTGGAAATACCTGCATAATATTGTCCAAGAGGAAAGTGTCCAATATTTATGTCCACTAAAGAGAGAAAACCAGTGGGAAAAAACTGCCTCTATTCCCAATGGTTCTCGCTCCTCAGTGGACAGCCCACCCCAAACAGACAAATTTTACTGAACTTTTTGTTGTGTGGTCTGAATGTGGTGCTCACGAGGCTCACATAGATTTGGGTCTTACCCTTCTCGAATGGATTTTAAACCTCTTCATGGGGTTGAACACTTTGGCTGAGAAAGGCTTGACATGCTTCAGGAAGGACGATCCATAAACGACAATTCTGCAAAACACAACCAGGAATTTCACAAGCATGAACTTTTTATAATGTCATACAAAGGTGTCATGGGGATTTTTTAAATGGGGGTATGTGATTTGTGACATCATTGATGTGATGAATCAGGACTAAACCAGGTCTAAACCAAGACTACACCAGGTCTAAACCAGGTCTAACCAGGACTACACCAGGACTACACCAGGACTACACCAGGACTACACCAGGACTACACCAGGACTTACTTAACCAGGACTAAACCAAGACTAAACCAGATCTAAACCAGATCTAAACCAGGACTACACCAGAACTACACCAGGTCTACAGCAGGGAGAGAGAGAGAACCCCAAGTCCACGGAGCAGGGTGTCTGCAAAGCGCGATCGGGCGATGGCTGTGCTTAGCCCTGCGAGGCTTGGAGCTCTGTGCCAGTTCTTTCACCTGCGGTCACCCGACAGTCTACGTGGGTGCACCTCTGGGCCCGTCCCCAAAACTCAGCCCTGGGATCAGCCCTGGGATCAGCCCTGGGATCAGCCCTGGGATCAGCCCTGGGATCAGCCCTGGGATCAGCCCTGGGATCAGCCCTGGGATCAGCCCTGGGATCAGCCCTGGTCCCTTCATGTCGCAGGTCACTATAGGACAGAACTGGAGATATCATGAGCTTATGCAGGTTGTTTTTATTTATTTATTTAATTTCCACCTGACCTTAGCTATCAACTGTTCTTCCTGGAGCCCTATGAAGGCTGTTTTGGGTTAGGGTTTTCACTAGTGCCAATAGTTTGACATTTAAGTTGTAGCTATTTTATATTTATAATTTTTTTATAGCTCATGTCGGGAGAAGTGGGTGGACGGCATACCCCCGCGTACTACGCCCACTACACCCCTGACATCATATCATTTAAAAAGTTTAATCCTCATTAGTTTGATTCCTTGGTAGAACGATTAAACCAGAGGTCAGGCTTTCTCTGTGAGCAACAGTGGCTTGAAGTTCAGTATAAGTTTATTTTATCCACTGGGAGTTTATTTTAGCTGACAAAAGGACCATTATTATTTTTACTATGATTGTGAATCTGGTTTGACATCTGGCATTGGAGCTCACCTGTCATAGGGGCAGCTGGTCTGATCAGTCACTGTGGTGTCTGTTCGATCTGATATGAGCCAGGAGAAGCTGGTGTTGGAGAAGAGTCGAATGTCCTTTTTGTGGGCGCGAGTCATGTAGCCACACCCAGCGTGGAAGTCTCCCAGGAACATCACATTCTGTAAAAAAATCTATATGTTAATAATACAATCTTCATAAAAACCTAAATCTCCAAGAAACATAACATTTAAGCTGTGTTCTTTTCTTAAACGCAAAATACTCTGTTCCACCTTGTGATGTCATGTGGTAATACAGGAAATGCTCCACTGTGTTTTTAAACTCCATACACCTTCACTAGAATCATTTTGATCATTTCAGCCCTGGAATTAAAAAAATCTCTAAGATGTTAATTGAGAACGATCACTTCATGACAATAAAATGGAATAGAGCATATTGCGCTTTGGAGATGCTAATAATGAAAATGGTTACTAAAACACATATGAGTGAAACAAAACAACTCTGGGTATGTTTTTAATGAGTTAACAACTTTCTAACGGCTTAAAGAGTCAATTCTGCATAATATAGGACCTTTAAAGAATGAGTCAAAGATGAGTCCAGTACCATTTTAGTAATATAAGACAAGTCCAGGACCAGTACAGGATCAGTACAGGACCATTACAAGACCTGTATGGGACCAGAATAGGACCAGTATGGGACCACTGCAAAACCTTTTGAGTTATACGAGGCACTGACCGTGTTTTGCCACTTTTTAACCACCTCCAGAAACACATCATAGAGTTTGTCTATTTCCTGAACAGCTTTGGTGGGTTCTGAGTGGAGAGGAATCAGGACAAACTCCACTGGCTCCACTGGAAAAACAAAACGTGTAAAAAAACAGTGAAAATGAGCCCTGGCGGCCACATAGAGCAAAGAGGAAGATTAAAACAGGTGAGAGGATTAAAAAGGTGAGAGATGCTCATCAGAATCAGTGTTGGTGCTTAGTTGTAACTCACATGTCTTGCTGCTGTTAAAGAGCACAGCGAACGGTGGTCGGACAAAGTCGGTGCTCTCGTGTTGGTGCTGTCCAGTGACAGAAACAGTCTGTGTTCTGATTGGATGAGACCAGCAAATGAGTCACTGTTACTTTTCTGCCCGTTATGTCTGTTTTTGAGAAATGGTTCTGTTCAGTTCAGTGTCTTTCTAACCCAAACCGTCTATGTTCTACCTGTTTTATAAAGCTGAAGTGTCTTAGAAAAGTGAAGCTTTACTACCTTCATTTCCATTGGAGATTAGATCCTAACCCTGATCTTCGTGACCTTTAACCATGTGGCTATAAAATAATAGATGGCCCTTACTGCCTGGTTGTTGTGTGGGCAGTTTCAAGATTCAGGACAGTTTTATTTGAAAAGGAACAGCAGAATGTTTTGACCACTACACCAATGTCAGGGCATTCAAGAACCATGTAGCCAGTACACTGTTACAATACACTGTTTACCAAATATTTATTGGTCTGTTTATTTATTTATTTTAGCATTGGACGTAGCAGAGCTCCAGTCCACACAGTGGCTGTGGTCAGGCTCTCCTGAACTCACCTGTAGAGGAAGGTGTAGTACTGCATGTCATTTTTGTCTTTTCCCAAAGGTCTACTGGACACTTGCGCATATACAAATGGATTCTGCATGCCTAGAAAACAAGATTTAAAAAACAGTCTCACAAGGCTTAAATCACCACATTTAGACATTTAGGTTAAAAATGTTATTTTCAATGAGAATAATAATGTGACTGAGGACAGATTTAAATATAGATCTCTCTTGAAGGAGAACAGATTGTGCTTTTTGAGGGGATATTTAATATTAAACTATCACATATGTACATCATTTTATTTTTTAAACCACAATCCTTAAATATAATTGTAAACTCAATCCCACACTGCTTGATAATAGAAATTGGACAGGTGACTTCTAAAGTGCGTTCACACTTGTTTCATCGTGGTTTGAGCCCAGTGCCAGTCTATTCCCGATGTAGACTTGGTTTGGTCCTGTTCTAGTCCTGCCTTAGTCCTGTCTGGTCCAGATATAGTTTCAAATTTTGTCTAAATTTTGATGAGGTGCATGTGCAAGCGTAAACTTCCTGTCAGTTAAGACAAAGCACTTAAACATTTATTTTCCACAACCAGGACCAGAACGAAGTCCAGTTTGGTTTGATTGTGGTTTAGTCCTGGTTTGGTCCTGATCAGGGTCAGAGTGTAGAATGAGGTCTTACCCGATGACATTCGCAGCAGAGACAAAACAGAACACATTATTACACTGAGCTCAAAGAAAGAAAAGAAAGACCAGGTAATGTTAGGCTGGTTAGGCTGAGTAAATCTACTTTGTCAGGATTAATCAACTATACAAATTATTGTACTGCGAATACAGGGTTAGACTGTGGAAGCACATTAATATTATGGGTTATTGGTTCCCAACCTTCATTGTCTCATACTACTGTAGTCCGAATTAATATTTCATAAAATAATGTGACAATGAAAGTTCAGTTCAATATTAAATCCCTGCTAAGAGTTTGCATTCCATTAAAGGTTCTTAAAGACCTGGTTGAGAAACACTTCTACTCCCACGGAAGTTGATTACTGATGTTTTGTTATATTTTATGCAGTAGATTTACACAGTTTTGTCCAATTACAAAAAGCAGCCATACCACCAGTAAGTTCATCAGATCCCAACATTTACAATGATTCTTTTAGTGAATGGAAGCATTAGTATCAGTATTAGTGAAAGCATTAATTACTGTTCTGCATTCCAGTTCACTCAAAACTCAGACAACTGAAAAGATGAATTTGTGTTTAACTTGAAAAATGACAATGACAGTGATGACAAAAACAAAATAAACCTATGAGGTGGTAAGATGGTAAAAATAGACACAATGTGACTCAATAAATTAATTAAACTGGAAGGCAAATGTATAAAGATTAGAGACATCAATAGATGCAGCAGGGGATGCAACATTTGGCATGGTTTATGCCAGTGGGACTGTTCAATTTAACATCATCACAGCTCGTTTGGGTCCAGACATGGTCAGTCCCAGTGCAGTTATGACATCGTCACTTTACAGTCCCATAGAAATAAGTGATGTCTGTTGTTAAAGACAGTTTTCATCACAAAACTGTCTTTATTATTTTAAAAAAGAAATTACAAACCTGTCATCTCCACTGTGAAAAAAACAAAAAATTCAGGATATTACCAGCTGCTACTCTAATCACCACTGCCCCCAAAAGAACTCTGCAGGAACACAGCAAGCCCAACTGACCAACTACCGCTACAGCATTGGACCCTCATTAATATGAATGGGATATACAAAACTATTATCATTAAATATTGTGATATTCACAAATCTCAACGTGTCTTATCCTACACCCCAGTGCCCCCTTCTGAGAAAAACTGTCACAAACCCTGTTAGGACCTGACCTCTAACTTCAGGGGGCACAGACAGGTTAGTATCTGTCTGAGGATATGGTCTCTGCTGTGGGCACGGTTTGTGTTATGCTGTGTTCTTGGTTAGTGCCTGTCTGTGCACCTGTTGAGGGTCGTCAGGAGCGTCTGTACTGCAGTGAGATCCTGAACGTGCAACAACAGAGAGATGTCACAACGACCAACGATCTACAAACAGAAAAACACACAGAATGATCTCACAATATACCATCTTATCTCTAGTACTATACTACTGTACTGTACAAGTACTGTAATACTGTAGTGCACAAGTACTACAATAATGTACTGTACAAGTACTGTTATACTGTAGTACAAAAGTACTACAATACTGTACTCTACAAGTACTGTAATAATATACTATACAATTACTATAAAAAAGTACAGGGATCTGACCTTACAGACATGCACTCTACTACCCCATCACTGACACGTTCTACCCCCTCATCAATGTGTTTTACCCTCTCATCAATGTGTTCTACCCCCTCACTGATGTGTCCTACCCCCTCACTGACGTGTCCTAACCCCTCATTTATGTGTTCTACCCCCTCACTGACATGTTCTACTCCCTCACTGACGCGTTCTACCCCCTCACTGACGTGTTCTAACCCCTCATTTATGTGTTCTACCCCCTCACTGACGCGTTCTACCCCATCACTGACATGTTATACCCCCTCAGTGGGATACATACCCGTGCCAGGTTGTGGACGATCCTATAGTTTGCAGTTTTGCTTTTATTGAACCGTGGGACGTTGTAGGAGCATATTTTGAATGAGTTCAAGCCTGAGAAGAACAGGACCATTATCAGGAGCAGACATGGTAATGCAGTGGAGGTGCGGGACATTTTATCTGGAACACAAACAAAAATAAAACCTTCATTCAGAAAATTTAAATTAAACCTGCTACAGACATCACGGAGCTCATGGGGTCAGGTCTAGATCTGAGACAGGTCTGAACACGCCACAAACCTGTTTCTCTGGATTCACAGTTTACAGATTTCTTGTTGCACATTGACTGGATACCGTGACTACTTTCCAGGGAAAAGCAAGGCTATGACTAAAAGCGTGCTGAGAATTAAAATGACGAATATTTACAACGAAAAGATTACCAAGCAATGCATTGTAGGCAGGGTACTGTAAATTAAAAACAAAAGAGGATGTTTGAGATTTATTCCTTTGCATGTCTGTTGTCTGTGTCTCTGCTTGATTGTCAAACTCTTGTCTGTTTCCTGATGAAGGCCTTGCTGCAAAACATTTTGATGAAGAAGCAAGAGCATTTTTTTATGTTTTTAAATCAGGGCAAAGACACAAGGTCCAGTCTTTCACCGAGACTTGGGCTGGCACAATAACGACACCAATGACCAAGCACTCCCCTCTCAGTCCTGCAATGAATGAGAAAAGAACGACCTGCTACACATTATAATTACACAGGCCTAGCTGATGTGTGATATAGCTGCCCACAATAAAAGATAATACTGAAGACCACCTTATGGCACTGAAAAAGTAAAGAACAAAATAGTACTGCTGTATTTGGCTACTTTTATAAAACGTTTGCCTGGAATCGAGAATACACACTTGTCTAGTCACCGGTGAATCTCCCAGTTTTCAGATGGGTGTGAGCGACGGTGGATTAGCACACACTCAGGGACACGCATGGTCCACCCATATCAAAACAGGGAACTGAAAAACATCACAGATTTCTGCAGAATCATTAAATGAAGGTATATACATATTTTTAGTTTGAGTAAAAAATAACCAACGAGCTCTTTCATGTTTTCTTTTCAAATCTGATGGCATGATCATGTTTGATGGGGTTTGAGATTCAGAGCAGGGTGTAAAGACCAGACTGATAGTGACCGTATAAAAAAATACTCAAAATCTCATTCTGCTTAAGGTGTATAATATGTTCATTTTAACAGCTTAGTAGCACATTAACACACACTATAGTGCACAGAAAATCATACATTTTATAGTGATAAGCCTACACTTAGCATATTCTACCAGACATGGACAAACAATCGGGACAGCAATCTACATAAGCCTGAAAATGTCCACTCAAAATACCAGTATCAGAGAGTGAATAGTTACACTCCCTCAGTCCATACACCCAGAGCCTTGTGCATTGTTATGTTTGCTATATATTTGTCTCTGCCCTTATATTCACACATTGTTTCGCTTGTGGACACAGTCGCTGCTGCAGCCCTTTCCACTATACAGTTTGATTACAAATGAGTAGAATGGGAGGCAGGACTGGGACAGGAAGGGGCGGACCATAAACTAAGTTCTGACAGGTGAGTGAACTGGTTTAGGTGGTTCTACTCCGCACTCTCCCTCGGGCTCTTTCACAGAAAACAGTGACCTATAAGCTGATATATTGAATACATTTTATCCAAAGGAAGGGCATCTGGTAAAAAGTCACGTGGGCTATAATGTGTATCTCTGCAAGTCATTGTTGTGAATTACTAACCATTAAATGTCACATTTTAAAAAATAAATAAAAACATACACAGTAGTGACTCTGCTCTTCTAAAGTGCCTAGGCAACAATAGAAATGATGAGGTTAAAGGGCCCACATTATGCTATTTTGTGGTCTCTGTTGTAGCGTTTCCTCATACATACCTGAAGTTGTGTTTTGTTTCATTCATACATGGTTAACACACAAACCCTGCACATTTAGGCTGAGTTCTCTGAAACGGAAAACACCCTGTTCCTCTACGTGATGTCGTGTGATAATCTAGGAAGTACTCCACTGTGTTTTTAAACTTCATACATCTATTAAGAATGACTTTGATCATTTCAGCCCTGAAGTTTGCCATTTGTACTAAACAAAAGGTAAAATGTAGTTGTGATATTACAAGACCGGAGCATTTCGAACTTTGGAGATGTAGACACACTAATAATAAAGTAATACTCAAACTTCGGATATGTTTTTGGTGAGGTAAAAGCATCATAACATGGCTTAAAGTGCACAAGACCCACAAGACCAATTTTTGCCCCATTTGGGAGTTTGACACCACACCTATGGGTGGTTTTCAGATTTTACAGTGTAATGATTTCATACTCTAGGTAAGGTAAGGGTCAAGGGTCGGGGTCAGATTTCCCTCTTGATAACAGTTTCTATGAAATATCCAAAAGGTAAATGCATAAAAGTTGAATCTGTTAATTTCCATTAGTGATTTGACTCAAGAACTCACTGTATTATATATAAAAAAAAAACTGCATTTAAACAATATTAATTTTATCTGACCCCCGTCTGTATTAAATATTATTGGCCTACAGAATGTTTTGTTGTCACCTGAAAACCACCAATACTGATCTGTTCCGCCAAGCTGGGAGTGTAACTCATTAAATTCTTTGGGTGTTAAACTTTAACATGTTTCTGTGGCCCTGTTTGACTTAGCCCACTGCAACCAGTACTAGGCGACTTAAATAGTAGAAGCCTGCAGGTCAGGGTGCCCTGAACAAATCAAGAGAAACCAGACTAAAACAGACTGAAACTCGTATAGGCTCGGGTGATCTTACCTGAACTCCGTAGGTCCCACTTCCTCAGATAGGCTTAATATAATCTCCCGTACTCTCTTGTTTTTGGCGTGTTTGGAGCTGAAGTGCCCCCCTGCAGTACTTTTGTTGTAGTTCCTGAGTATTTATTTTCTTGTTTCTTGTTTAATTTCCCAAAGCCTCTGGAGTTGCCGCTGCTTTTGGGCGTAGGACAAGACTGTTTTGTCACGGAGCTGGTAGGACAGGGACACGCCCACTGCCCTCGCCTTTTACAGGTGCTTCCTCCCCCATCTTCCGGATCCCTCCTGTACAGAGAGGTGCGTCTGAGGATTATGCAGTTATCTGGACGAGCGTCCTCATTAGTTTAATAGTTTCATCTTTTACACATGCTTTTATGCACGTGCTTTTCTGTATTGTCCTTTATATATTTTTTTTGTTGGCTCAAACTCATACAGTCTATGCTCAAACATGGTCAAAAGATGCTTGGGTATTTCCCGTTCTTCATTTGAACATCTTTAAGCTCTCCTGCCCTCTGCTGTTTGAGCTTGAAGCGGCAGTTGTTTTATGGCTCCCAGTGTTAAAAGGCAACTGCAATCTGAATTGTGTAAACTATAACTACACGTTTTGGTCTTCTTGGCAACTTAAACTTTACTTAGCCAAAGTAAATTTAACAGTGGGATCGCTCTTGCTTCACTGTAGGTCACATTTGAGAGCAGGTATCTTTTAACTCTACAAAATGTCTAAGGACGTTACGTAAGAATTTGATATATTGGTTGTAGGTCGAACACGAAACGAAATGCGAAAATCTTCATTACTTTTTAACGCTGACGTGGGCAACATTTTACTTTTCTATCGGTACTTTTAAAGATCAACTATATCTAACTTTCCTTAAGGGGGTTTACCACCTGTTTGTCTCCATTGACATGTTACCTTTGTACCTTTTTTTGTAATATAATACATATGTTTTATTGTAAAAACAATTCTTTGAAAACCCCAAAATTTTACTATGTGCTGGGTTGCCTTTCCACAGATCTGATCAGTTAGGTCAGGTGGTCCGGTAGCATTACCTGCTTCCCACAGATAGGTCATTTTTATTCAGTGGAATATTCATAATAATAACATCTCCATGCCTGCAGTAGACAAGCAGTCATCCACCAGAAAAATTACACTGTGCACCTAAAACAAAACAGAGTAAACCAAACCAAAATTGTACACGGAGACAAGAGAATGCATGTTTTTCAGAGTCTAGTGCGTCCGATATCCTGCCCAGTCAGTTACAAGATGACCACCGCGCTTTTCACGGCAGTTGATGCTGTGTTACCTCTAGAGTTTTATGTAACACATCCCAACTTCTGGTTTCCATAGCGACGGGCCCTGTACGTCGAGGCTCTGTACGTGATCGATCATCACGCTCATCGCGCTGCTCTGCCATTACTCTCAAGTGTAAAATAGGCCTACAAGCAAGATTAGCCTATAAGATTATTGTGTAATGATTTATTAAATTTAGCTTTTTTATATTCAATATAATGTCATCTCGCATGACTTAATTTAATGTATTTGATCTAAGAAAGTGAAAATCGAACAGTGAAATAGAATAAAACGATGCAACATTAAGTGGACTTCCACACAGAGGTGAGTTTGCTGACACGTGGCCCAAAACTTTCTAAAACGATTTAACCTGAATAAAATAAAAAACTAACCGAAGGCCTTATTGCGCTTAGTTAGAGCTTAAGTTTTTGCAGTTAGAACTTAAACTTTTTAATAGGGTAGCTCCCAGTTTGACCCAGTTTACATAAGCTAAAGATTTTGTCATGGCCATGATGGAAATCATTCAGAATCACATTTAGGCGGTTTTAACAGCTGGGCCCTGGCTCTGAGCCTGTGGATTGTTTATTATTTAGGCTAATGCAACTTGTGTCACAGAACAGTCATAGGACGGACGTAAGGCAAGAAAAACTAAGAAGATACTTCAGGCTATACAGTCAATGGATAGTCCAGTTCCATCCAAAGCCTAGAGATTGTTTTAGTCAAATTTACACACATGAAATTTGGCTATTGAAATTAACGATTCATCTAAAATGCATCTTCCGTAGATTCACTGTGTTGGTATGTATTAGGCACGTTTTAAAAGTGCAGTTTTTGGAGCCATTTTGAGTCTGTTCTATTTTTGCCTCATGTCATTCCGTCTGCGCCCACTAGGGGGAGTCTGGCACGGGCTCTCTAAATCCAGAAGCACTTGTCTTCTAACATCACTGTGTTTATAGCTTAGTCTCCCCCTGTTACCTATGTCTTCTGCCTCTTATCTCCTTCATCACCTCCCTTGTTGTCTGTCACCTTACTCCCATCCCCTTTATTTCACTAGATCCTCTCTGCACTGCTTTAGCCCTGCTCTGCTGCTGCAGCCTGTGTCTCCAAGCCTGATCATGTGACTGAGCTGCGGAGCCAGGAGAGGAAGCACCGCAGAGGAAAGGAAACGAGGAGATGAGCGAGGAGAGAAGGGAGCAGCAGAGAGGAGGCATCATCGGCTGCTGCAACAAGGAAACCAATTAGGACAGGACTGTGAAATAGATATACAAGGAGACACACAAGGGGACAGTCAAGGAGACGACGGGGAGCAACTGCAGGAAAAAATCAGGCTCAAATCCATGAATTTCTGACGTTACACCAGACCGACGGCATCTGAGGATAAACCAGGACTGAACCGGGAGGAAACTGGGACTAAATCAGGATTACAGCAGAACTAAACCAATACTGCAACAGGACTAAAGCCAAGACTAAATCTCAGTCAGCACTAAACCAGATCTAAATCCAGCGACAGCCTCTTCTATACACAGTACAATGCAGTGGAGTCTATTCAGTGGAGTCTATTGGATTGTGGGATCTAACCAGGCCTGGACCAGAATCAGAACCGGTCTGAATGTGTTCTGAGCCGATCCAGGCCCAGTTCTGATTGAAGTGAGGCCTAAGGCTGAAAATGGGCCACAACCGACAGCATGCTGCAGTTTACCCAGAGACTCTCAGGTAAGAGACCAGATCGGAGGAAAACCGGGTCTAAAGCAGGTATGAAATAGGCCTACATCTGGCCTGATATAAAATGATTCAGGCCTAAATTAGTTCTTATCTGGGTCTACACCAGGTCTTATCCAGGATTAAACTAGGTCTGAACCAGGCCTAAACCAGATCTTGACCAGGTCTAATCCAGGTCTAGCCTTGTTTAATTTCTGTATCACATTGATTAACTGAACCGACCAGTGTGGCCCTACTGCAGTTTGTGTGAGCAGCACAGTGAGAGGATTTGAAATTAAAATGAAAGCGATTATTCCCATGAGCCCCACGTCTGTCTGTGTGAGAGGGAGAGGTGGAGTGAATTTTAACACGTCCAGACTATTCTGTGGCCAGAGAGCATTTTTAGGCACAACCTCAAGCAGCTTCAAATTAACAGCGAGAGGTGTGCTAAATGCTCCTGCCCCGGTAGAGTAACTGCCCCTATGGGACAGTCCTAACTGCCCCTGTGGGGGAACAGCTGTTTACTGTGGTAAATCTGGATTATAGGTATGATAAATGCTCCAACCAACTCCAGGCCAGGGGTCATTTTATTTCTAGTTCTTGCTGTGTTTTGGAGTTTTTTGGAGATTTACCCATTGAAGCAATTGAGAGTAAAATAAAAACATAACCAGAAAATGAAATCCAGATAAATACTCTGTAGTAATAACTGTCTGTAAGCTGTTGATCTAATATCTGGGTTTGTGGCGTTGACTTACATTTATATCATTGTAATAATGTATTATTTTTTATTATTCATTATAAGAGATTTCTTTTTATTTTCACAGACCCAGGAGTGTACCAGAACTAACTCAGACCCAGAGCTGATTTCCACCAAGTCCATTCTAAAGTCTGAGTTCCAGAGGGTTCCAGGTCCCATTTCAAGTCCTGGATCTCAATCAGAACCATGTTGAGCCTGATTACAGTCCGCGCCTATAGGATTCACACTGGGCTCCTGGATCCATCCTGATCCGGGACAATACCAGATCCTCAGATCTAGTTTAGACTCTGGAGCATCTATAGACTGGGACTTTTGGACTGTTTTTAGACCCAGAACCAAGTCTGGACCCACAAATACCTGTCTGGACTAGTTTAGATCCAAAGAGACCTTACTACCCGAATTTTAGATCTGAAATGTGGGTTTCATTTTAGACTAAGGATGGTCCAGCAGCAGGCCCTGGTCTACAACTATCTTTTCAGCAAAACATGGAGTCACTCACTGAACAAACTTTTTAATTGACCATTCCACCCTCCCTTCTCCCAAACTCTCCTTTTCTAGCTCCTTCCTCTCCTCAGACTCCCCCTCCTGCTCCCTTTCTTTCTGGACTCTACACAATAAATCTCCCTCCTCGTATGCAGCGATTCACAAACTGGTTTTACTCCAGATGCCCTTCCTGCAGCTTGGTGTGGCACAAATAGCACAAATGGCTCTGTTAATCAATAGACTGAAGATCTGGATTTGGACTAACTGCACCAAACTAGACTTTGTGTAATCTTACCAACGCCTAGACGTCTGTTAGATCTCCAACTTTTGTAGTTCCACCAAAACTACTTTCTGTTGATCTAGTGCCAGCAACAGACCAGAACTGGACCATTCCAAGGTCTGTTGAAGGACTACATAAACTTAACCTCAATCCTATGTTTCTCCAGCTCCACTGTAGCACTGTAGGTCCGGCCACGAGAGACTAAAGATGGATGGTACAGGGTCTAGTCCGGGTGCTCAAAGTCCGGAAAGTCCAAACCGGGCCGTGGAGTACCTCCTAGAACTCAACCACATCATCGACTCCCAGCAGAAACTTCTAGAGTCGCAGAGGAAACGAATCCAAGAGTTGGAGGTTCAGCTGGAGCGGTTAAGCCAGGAGAACCAGGACCTGAGGAACCAGGACCGGAGTCAGTCACAGGAGCAAACCAACACCGGGAACATCCAGACCAACTCAAACCCAGAACCACGGCAGAACCAGAACCAGCCCAAAGGTGAGTCCTACCTCTTCCCAAACCCCTTTTCCATCTCCTCTCTCTCCTCAAACATGCCTCTGAGCCCCCCCCCCCCTCCCCACGCACTTCACTGGTACTTGAATACAGGGTAGGTTAGATTTATACCAGGGTTAGAGGTTTTTGCTGATTGCTAAAAAACAAACAAAGGCCAAGAACCAAACAGTTGTTCCATGTGTTAAAGTTCCAGTGATAAACGTGACTCTGACCCTATTTGTTTTATCCACAGCCCGTCCTGAACCTCCTCCTCCCCCTCCTCTGCCTCCAACCATCACTCTTTCCAAAAACACGAATAAGACCAGCTCTGGACCAGCCAAAACCAGTTCTGGATCCACCAAAACCAGTTCTGGACCAGCCAAGACTTGCTCAGTCCCAGCACGACCCTCTGAATCGTCCTTAAAGAACCCCAAAGCCCAAGACTGTGGCTCTAAACCTCGGATCTGTATAAACTCGCACAGTGTGGAATTGAAGGCCCAAGATAGCAGCTGCCGGACACCGTCTGTGTCAGCAAAGGTTTGCTCGGTGTCTAGTACTAACTCAGAACTCAACTCCAAAACTACAGAGATTTCATCAAAGACGGCCGAGTTCTCCTCCAGGACCTTCGAGTTCTCCTCCCGAGGCCCAGTCCTCACCAAGACCGAGTCCGGGTCCAAAGCCCACTTCCAGAGCCACTTCTCGTACAGCAGCAGTGTGGCTAATGTTAGCTTCCAGATCCCAGCCCCTGCCACATCCTCCTCTGGTCCAATGGAAGCCCCACCCCCACCCCCCCTTCCAGTGCGCACGCACATAAACACCCATGTGAACACCCATGTGAATGCCCACGTGCGCACTCGCACCTCAACTGGGACCAACACCAACTTTGTGGAGAAAGAAAAAGAACGACTTGAGCGACTCCATCGAGTTAATGCAGCTAACAATGTCCATGCACACACACTGCATGGCAACAGGTGAGTTCATTAGTCCATCAACACCGTCCTGTAGCTTGGGACCTGTCAGAAGGGCTCCTGAGCCAGTAGAAATGGAACATACTAAGCTGAATAAGTCAAGTTGCATTTATTACATGTCTATGTACAATCTGTCTATGAATGCTGGTGTGAGTGTGTGGTGGTCTGAGGTGGCAGTGGTGCAAATTGACAGCTTTTTTAGTCTAACAAGGGGCAACTGTGGCTACAGAAGGAGCTCACTTCCATGCATTGGAAAACCTCTGAGTATTTTGAAAGACAATTTAATTCTCATCCATTATGATTATCTTTGTGCATTAAATAACTGAAGATAATACATGTTTTATGTGCAAACAAACTGCACCCAAGTCACAGTCTCCAGTAAGCTCATGCTAACAGTTTGTCTCAGACCAATAGGAGACTGAATATAGTAATTATTGCTTTCTGCTGTGCGTCCAAGCGTCCACTGTCAGCGCATATGTAGATTCTGCTGTGTACTGCTATGTATTACTGCAGTGTACTACTGTGATATACTGCAAGTACTTCAGATGCTGTTTCTGTTAGTGCAGGTGTGTATTGTCTCATTAATCTGTGCTGCCGTTTGTCGCAGTCTCTTCCCCCTCCGCAGTACTGCCCCATTTACACAGAACAGCAGCACCCAACTGCTAAACAGAGTACTGCTGTACACAGCTGTTACCACGTACTGCAGTACTGGACAGTTTTAGAAAGTAGTGTGATACTTCACTGTCTCTACAAAGCACTGCAGTACTGAGGGGTTTGGTACATGGGTGATTACTATAACTGACCTGTGTTTTAAATGTTGTTTATTATTATTTTTTGTACAGGTGTCACTCCTCCACTTCTTGCCGCTCCCCGCCCTCCTCATGTATATCCCCGCCCACCTCATGTGTTTCCCCGCCAACCTCCTGTATGTCCCCACCCACCTCCTGCATAACCCCTCCCTCTTACCCCGGGTCATCATCCAGTCTTCCTCCAAACAGCTCCTTCCATCAGTTCTGCTGCGCATCCAGACTCTTGCACCTGCCCCCTCCACCAAGCAAGCACTCCAGGTATGCTCTAACCTGTCCCAAATCTGAAACACCATTTCTCCCCCCAAAACACGTGTGGATACTCTAGCCTGATTCATGTCCTTTAAAAACCCTTCAGACCTGTACAGATCCTACTGAAACTAACCGTGTCCCTCTAAACCTGTTATGATCCCTCTTATCCATGTGCTGTGTATTTTCAGGGAGGACGAAGATGATGATGTTGCTCATCAGTTCTGTTGCCCTGCCTCCGAGTGCAGTAGCCCCTCCTCCAGGTAACCATGGCAATGGGGATACAAAGATACAAAGAGCCAAGAGGACAGAGGACGCAAGGACCAGTGGAGTGACAGCGACCAAGATTCAAAAATGAATAAAACTGTTTACACTGAGTGGAACCGGAGTGAATGTGATTCAGTTGGATCTAGCCCTAACCAGGTCTAAACAGACTTTCAAAGAACTCTCTGTTAAAAGCATGAAGCCTATCTCCATCAGCCACCAAATACCCCAGGAGCAAAACTGGATACAACATTCTTTGAACAACAGACAAGAGAGAAGTGGACATGGGACAGAACAGAGTGGACACTGTGTCTCTAACCTGGATTTACTTTCACAACAAAGTATTCTTTTAAATACAGGATTAAATCAGGACAATGACCACCTGAAAAAACAGGAGCGCATCAGGCCTACACCATAACCTATCCAGGAGTAAATTAGGCCTAAACAAGGTCTAATCCAGGAGAAAAGGGTCTTAAACTGATCATTGAAGAAAGTTAGTCTCAGGGCTGACACTCACTGACAGAATACCACTCTTACTCATACATTCATTCACTCTGGGATGATACAGTTTGTGGGAGTAAATCCAGGGTAGAATCATGACTTCTTGTTTGGGTTTGAGTTTGTTCCCTCACACAAACTGGGAAGGCTTACTGTACTCACTGTGTTTAAGGCCTTGTGCATTTACAGACAGCCGCGGAAGTGCCATCCTTCATCTCATTTCTAGTGTAAATATTATCTTGTGTAAAATGGAGGAACTGTCTGAGAGAAATAAAGATAATGATGCTCTATATTCTGCAGATCAATAAAGTCTATCTGAACCAGAAACGTGTCGCTCAGAACACTTACTACACCTTATTTGAGATTGTCCAAATTTGAGGAGGTTTATAGCCTGCAGTTCCTCAGTGGGCCAGCAGAGGGACCTCATGGAATCTGTAGGAGGGTGCAGTGTTGCCGGGAGACAGTTTCTATGGAGACGGAGACGGTTGCTGTGGAGACGAGCAGCAGGAGGAAGAGGAGGAGGAGGCGACGCAGTCCCACTCACTGCTGCTGTTCACAACAGCACAAGTATTATACATAGATTTCGACTTCATTTTGCTGATTTTACAGTACTGATACTTATTGTACTGCAAATAGTACTGCACTAACATCTTATTTTTCTATTGTGTAGTGATTGTCATTCATGCACTGTCTTTGTTTACGAGATTAGAAAATACTCGCATACGACATATTAGACAATTCTAATGAAAAAGAAAAGAAAACAAACAAACAAAAAAATTATACTTACTGGCTATATATTTATTTTACTGTGGGCTACTTTAACTTTTGCGGTGACACTTTTAAAGCATAAATTCAAGTCGGATACAAATATGAGACATAAGCTGTGAAAAGAGCCTGTGAGTCAGTGTGAACCAGGTGGGACCGTCGCACCTCCTGGAATCACCGCCTCAGCTGTCATCTCAATGTCATCTGATCCATGTCTAACCCTGCCTCGTACCATTAGGCTATATCACATAATAACAAACAGCCCTATGAGGCAGAACCACATCTGAATAGGGCCAAAACAACAAAACCACCCGCCAATCTCAGACGGGCACGTGACACACCGCCGGAAGTCCGCACCTGCCTACAGCTCTGCGTCAGAAGGGAATAGGAGCGAGGAAAGGAGAGAGAGAAGGACACTTAGATGGAGGAGAGAGAAGGCAGGACGGAGGAGGCGTGACGTAAGAGCACCAGCACACTTCGCACGCGCCATCTGCCTCAGAACCTGCGCTCATGGACCAGAACCGGACCGCAACACCCGCGCCCTGAGCCCCTTTCCCGTGGTTCCGAGATTGTTTTCTCGCGGAGTCATGTGGTGCATCAATTGCGCGTCGGATAAAACACCAGCGCTCAACAACAAGCTTCTGTTCAGGTATGATTTGAGTATAAACTGTCTTTGAACCTTATTTACGCCGAATCTGACCCGGACCAAACCCTATTCGGTCTCTGGGACCAGGACCTGTCGCTGTCAGCATCATTAAACCCTGTTAAATCTGGTGCGAGCGACTCGAATCCGCGCTCCCCGCCGCATCACCGCGACACTCTGTATCTCTCTGTCTTTTGGTCTTGGTGAGGTGTATGCCGTTTTAATGTTTATTCTGTTTTGTACGGAATTGAATCCTCTTTTAGACCTGACTCAGCTTTGGGTTAGTCCTGGTTTGATTTTGGATTTAGTGTTGGTTTTACTTCAGTGATTTATGCCAGTGTGTGCCGCGCAGTGCCGCCTCCTGCCGTGCGTGTGGTTTGTAACTGCGACATGGGCCCTGGTCCAGGTCCGGATTCGGTTTAAACCAAATTGGCATTTGGTTCATTGGAGTCACGTGACAGTTATCTATTCACACACTGGATTGTTTGAGACAGGTGAGCTGATTCTGGGTCCTGCTGTGTCCAGGTTCAGATAACAGTCCAAGTTAATGGCTGAACTTCAGAATGTTTAAATACCGTTTGTTTTATTGTGTTCAAGAAGTCTTTACTGTTCACTTTACTCCAGGCTTACCTGTACCCCACCTCAGGCCTGCAGATGAACTGTAATAGAGTCACTCAGGGTCATATGTGAGTTTTTCTGAATACTCAGGCCTACAGCACTGACAGATATAGTTAGGTCTATAATGTCTGCTTTGGACATTTTTCTTATAGAATGTACAGGAACTAAACTTAAGTACAGTCTTAAGCTGAAACTATTTTGACACTGACATGGGCTAAAGCAGTTATAACTCAAGATTAATTATGTAAATAGACCTGCTGCAGATGGATCAGTGGTACTTTCTTGGTGAAGTGAACCAGCCCCCACCACGCACTGGTGGAGTTTTTCACTCAATTTAATTTTGCACAGTTAAATAACATGTATGCCTCATAGGATCATACAGACTTTATGATTTGATCTAAAAGCCTGGAAATAAAACAGTTCTAAGCAAATGGATAAAAGCCCAGGGCAGGGCATGAGTCCCCTCCTCAGAAAGGAGAGGTCCACTCCCATAGACAGCACTTTAGATGTGATGTAAAGATAAGGTCCAGTCACCACTGGAGTATCTACGGAGAGTAATCGAATAGCCACATAACATTTAGTAACACAGAGAGCAGTTTGGAGTTTGTGCTGTGAGTGACAGCAAACACATCATCAGCATGTCTTTCAACTGTTAGATTGGACAAAGGACTGTTTAGAATTTACCCTCCTGAGTCTAAACTATAACTTCCCCCATAGACCCGTGCAATTCCACATGTGCCCAGATCCATCACAGAAGAGTTTTGGTAGAATTATTTATGCCAGACCGAGGCATTAACAGCACATTCAGTTCTGTATCATTTCTTTTTGCTGACGAAATGTTTTAAATATTACATTTGCATTTAAATTCATACAGTAGTCACACATTATCTGTGGAAGAGTCACACGACAGTGGACCCAGTTTGAACCAGTTCAGAGAGAAACATATGAACTACAGCCCCAGGCCTCAGCCTCCCAAACACACACACTCTACCCCCCTCTGGTAGTACTCAGTACACACGGAGTACACACAACACATACGACTACACATCACTGATGTACACACTCTACGCTGGTCTACACTGCAGTATATCCATACATGTGATTCATATTTTTATCTGAATAAAAACTTTCCAGTCAAAACCTTTTCCAGTCAAAACCATTGTTACGGCTGTTGCACTGTGTGTAGTATATCATTTTCCATTTGGTGTTAAAAGTGCTTTTTCCCTTTGCCCTTTCTGATGGTACCTTCTGTGTTTCCCACTGTGGCGCTGCTTATGTGACTCTGGCTATTTTCATATTGTGTGATATGAAAATCACCATGATTTAAAGTACACTTTAGGCTATATGAATATTCTTTAAAAAAATAATTCATATTACCATTGTGTTTTCAGTCCGGACCAGGCCCACTGCGCCGAAGCCACCATGATGCCCTTTGACCCATCCTCTTTCTCCTCTCCCTTTCATCGCCATGGCAATAGTCCCTTGCCCCTTCGCCATAGCAACAACCCTCTGCACCGCCCCTGTGACCCATGTGACCCCTACTGCTCTGCCCACAAACTCACTCAGGTAACGCTGGCATTAGCACATCTGCACCTGATCTATACCTAATCATTACCAGTGGACCACGATCAATCCTGTTAATTCTGCAGTTTAAGTGTGAAAAGTAAAGTGTCTTCCTACATAAAACCAAACCTTTCCCTTTAACATGACCCCCCAGGGCTCTGTGTCCCCCGTGTCTCCCCCTGCTCCTGGGCTCACCTGGGCTCAGAGGAGACTGCAGTCTGCCAGTGTGGCTCTCAGAAACCAAGATGAGGACTATGAGCTGTCCACAGATCTGCAGGATAAGACAGTGAGTATTGAGCGCTCGCTTTAGTGTAATCTAATTTTAAGCAAGTCCAATGGTGATTTGTACCTGTGCAGGTGGAGATGCTGGAGAGGAAGTATGGTGGGCAGTTTGTCACCCGCCGAGCAGCACGGACCATCCAAACAGCCTTCAGACAATATCGAATGAGGAAGAACTTCCAGCGACTGCGGAGCTCTGCTTCTGAGAGCCGCATGACCCGCCGCATTATCCTGACCAACATGAGGTCCCAGGTACGACTGGGCAGGGGGCACAAGATTGGAGCAGACAATAGATATAGCAATAATCTATCTATTTATATAAATCTAAGCTAAACATGTTACATGAGAGAAATGAAGGATATGTGTTTTAACAGTACTCGTTTGAAGAGCGACTTCCTCAAGGTCAAGGGTCTCCAGGTCAGCAAGGCTCAGAGGTTGGGGGAGATCTGGAAGATTCTTTCTCCAAAGCGGTACAGTATTCACTACTCTCTCCTCACAAGACAAAAAAAAAGCACAGACTGGATTGTTTGGGTCAAACCTGAAGGGGGAATCATGATCTAGTACTATTGGCATGTTCTGACTGGCCCCACTAACCTGACAAACCTGACAAACACTTACCATAGCCTAATAACAGTCTTGGTCTTCCTAAAGGTGGCGTCCTTGGCTGACTCTATGGACGACTCCCTGACCTGTCAGTCCCAGTCTGGTCTGGACTCTCAGGACCCTCCTGAGGACAGTGCGGAGGAGACACCCGAAGACAGTCCAGAGGAGGACAGCCCAGATGAGGACAGTCCAGATCCAGAGCAGTACCAGGGCTACCGCTGCTCTCTGGGGCCCGGCTCTAGCTCTGATACAGAGTTCTGGTCTGGAGACAGAGAGAGCTCCAGGAGCGGCTCTAGACGGGGGTCCAGGGGAGGCACTGCACCAGGGCACCTGCCTGTTCTCACCATAGAACCCCCCAGCGACAGCTCTGTGGACATGAGCGACCGGTCAGTACCGCCCCCTCCTGATCCATAACTGTCTGAATTGTCCCTACTGAACATTAATGTGTTTCTGTTTTAGCTCTGAACGTGGATCGATTGGGCGCCTCGTCTATGAGCAGGATTCTTCAGTGGATCGAGGGGCAGAGGGGGAGGTCCGTAGTGAAACTGGAGGAGAGACAGCAGGAGAGGAGGAAGAGGACAGCCCAGAGGAGGAGGAAGAGGAGACCCGTGACGAAGGAGACTCAACTGAAACTGAGTCTCTGCAGGGGACCATCAAACACAAACCCAACCAAAACCAGGCTCAGGGACAAACCAGGGTCCCAGCTCCTCTGCCCATACCCTCAGCCCGCACTCTGCCCCCACACCCACTCACTCACCCTCAGCCCCACCCCCAGATCCACACTCACCCACAGCACCCCCTCCTGCCCCACCTTCAGCACAGCGCCCCCTACTCTCAAATGCATCATCCACACCAGCCTTATGTCCAGCACTATCTGCACAGCCAGGGATACAACCAAAACCAAGTCTACAGTCAGATCCATGGATTCCACCCTCACGCTCACCCCCAACTCCTCGCACACACCTGCCCACAGAGTTGCCCCCAAAACCTACCACCGCTGCCTGCCTCATTCCCTGAGCACACATGTCTCCAGCAGAAGCCCCACTATCCACAAAACTTGCCTCAGCAAAGACCCATTCTGCCCCCACACCCAATGCATAACCATCCCCCAATTCACAACCACCCCCAGAACTACCCTCAGGTCCATCCCCATAGTCACCCCCTGAACCATGCTCATTTTGCCCCACACCAGATTCACAGCTTTCCCCAGGCTGACCCGCACTTCCACCAGCTTCCTCCTCAGATGCCTCCTCAAATGCCTCCTCAGATGCCTCCTCAGATGCCCCCTCAGATGCCTCCTCAGATGCCCCCTCAGATGCCCCCACAGCTTCCCCCATTACCACATTTGCCCCATTTGCCCCCTCAGTGCTGCCCCGAGCCACCAGTCTCACCTCACCCTTTACTGTCCTCGGACGGCGATAATGATAGCGTCCAATCAGCGACCACGAATTCCAACGATGATACAACCACGACAGCCAATCACAGCTCTGGCTCCTCCTCCCGCGATAGCCAGCCAATGGGAGCGCTCACGGGGATGGGGGGCGGGACTCTGGGCAAAATGACCTACCAGAGGGAAAGCAGAAACAACTGGGACTCTCCTGCGTTTAACAATGACGTGGTTCAGAGACGACAGTATCGCATCGGACTCAACCTCTTTAACAAGTGAGTACTCCCTTGAAGCTTATCTCCAACCAGCAGATCTAAATAAAAGTTTAGACTTAGACAAACTTTATTGATCCACAAGGGAAATTATTCCGGCACAGTAGCTCACACATCACAATATCTTCCTGGGACCTGGAGAAAAAAGTGTATTAAGTATATTTTTTGTGATTTCCTATCTATTTGGAGGTAAATGAACACCTTAGCATTTAGATTTTGTTCATTTTATTTGGACTTATAAGATTTTAGTGTTAAATCCATGTGAAATACAACAACCTAACAAAAACAACTTTTTTGATGGCCAACATCTCTGATGAGCTTTTTCAGTTGCCTCAAAAATTTTTTAGACTTCCTTTTAATTTCTTTCTTTCTTTAGTTTTTTTTTTCTTATCATAGTGCAGCCACAAACTATCTCCTATTGAGTTCATTTTGTATTCTGGACATGATAGTACCCTATAATCCACCAGTCCTATTTAGGCAGAGGAACCTAGTTCCCCCATTAAGAGTCTATCTCAAAACACTTGAAAGATAGACTGGTTAACTCAATGTCCACTATAAAGTACACAAATGAACGGGCCGGGTCTCAGGAGGATATATTATAATAAGTAGCAAAAATAGCAAGAGACCGATCAAATAAGGCATAATTATACAAATGCACATGTACAAATAAAAATAAAATATGGGAATACAAATATATCTCAGCTATATACAAGAAGTGGGTAAGGCGAAACAGAATATGCAAATATGAAATAATGATTGACATGATGTAGGGTTATCTATTATATAAGGATGAGTGGTATGATATGAATGTAGTCCTGTATCTCTCACTGAACCAAATCATAAACCATTGTTGTTCAACCTTTTTTTGTCACAAACCCCATAATAACAACTGCTGCTGGGACCCCCAAACACAAGAAGTGGGTCTAGCCTTTTTATGTTAATGCATAAATATTACATTTTCCCTCCATATCATCTGAAATCCTTCCGTAATTCTCCCTACCTTTGATAATCACTGTCATAAGCAACCATAATCAAATCAATGCACAAAAAAGCTACATGAAATTAAATTATCAGAAAGCCTCTCTCTCCCCAGACACTTCCTACATCCGCTCTTCCCTCTCCTCAGACACCTCTCTGCTCCTAATGCATACTGTAAGTTGATGATGTGTTTCTTGTGTGCACAGAAAACCAGAGAAGGGTGTGCAGTACCTGATCGAGCGTGGGTTTGTGACGGACTCTCCTCTGGGCATCGCACGCTTCATCCTTGAACGAAAAGGGCTGAGCCGACAGATGATCGGAGAGTTTTTGGGCAGCAGACAGCAGTTCAACAAAGATGTGTTAGAGTGAGTAAACAGCGTGGAATCGGTCCTGTTGCAGATTAAAGTAGAGCTACTCAATACTCTACAATACTCTCGCTGTTTTTAAATGGCCCATGTTGTGCTATTTTCACATCTTTTTTCCCCTAATGTGTTATAATATTGTTTCCTCATCACAAACATACCTGGAGCTGTGGGGTTTTTTGTCATTTACACATGATTAACATACAAACCCTGCATATTTAGGCTTCGTTCTTCTCTCTCTTCCACCTTCTGATATCATATGGTAATACAGAAAGTGCTCCACTGTGTTTTTAAACACCATACACCTTCATTAGGAGCTTTTGGATAGTTTCAACCCTGGGATTTCCAGTCAATACTAAACTAATGGTAAAAGGAGCTGTTAAATCTGGATTACTCATGTGTGAATGAAACAAAATACAACTCCAGGTTTGTTTTTGAGGTTGTAACAACATTATAACATAAAGCTCACAAAAGCCATTTTTGCATTACATAGGACCTTTAATGCCTTTTGTTGTGCAGATGCGTGTTGGAGGAGATGGATTTCTCTGGGATGGATGTAGACGAGGCTCTGAGAAAGTTCCAGGCTCAGATCAAAGTGCAGGGAGAGGCTCAAAGAGTAGAGCGGCTAGTGGAAGCTTTCAGGTACTGCAATATCCTACTAATAATACTAGCACTACTAGTATATTACCTGACCAGCCAGAGCCACACACTTTGACAAAACTTTACGAAGACGAGTGGATCTGGAGCTGTATCCTGTCTCCCTGATTACAGAGGGCATGATTGACAGGTGGATTAACCATTCAGATTGACGCATGCTCCATTCACTTCAAAAACAAACCTACAAAAGTTAAAAAGGGGAAAAAACAGCACAGATGTTCGCGTGATCCACATTCAAATCCGAACTATTATTTCTCAGGTAAAAGAAGTTATATATTTTGTTCTGAATGTTACAAGAATTTTGGAGAGGAGACTTCTCTCACAGTCTCTCCTCTTCTCCACAGTCTCACACAAAAAACGTGATACAAATACAAAAGGCTGTGGTTGGACCATCTCAAGTTTGGACAAAAGATTTTCATGTTCTGTGGTCCGATTCCAGTCTTTTCTGGATTTGAACAGAATCTAGAAGGGACTGGCTGGTCAGACAAACTACTACATTTACTGCAGTTTTCTTCATCTGTCACAAAAATGTTACTTAGATACACGTGTTTTGTATTTCTGTATGTATTTGCAGTCAGCGGTACTGTATGTGCAACCCCGTCCTTATCCGACAATTCCAGAATCCAGACACTATCTTCATTTTGTCCTTCGCGATAATTTTACTGAACACAGACTTGTACAGTCCGAGTGTGAAACCAGAGAGAAAGATGAAACTGGAGGACTTCATCAAAAACTTACGAGGTGAGTAGGACTTGTGAAAAGAAGCACTTAATTAAAAACATTCAGTCTTTTAAAATGTAAAATGGACAAACTTTAGTATTAAGAAATTATTTGGACACACAGCTCAAACATCACACGTCAGAGCAAAAATATAAATTGTCATAATAAAATCAAAATAAGTAGCAAAAATAGTAAGAGACTAGTGTCAGATAAGGCATAAGTATTATATACAGTATGTACAATAAAAATATAGAAATACAGTAAATATAGTCTATATACAGTCAGTATAAATATATTTTTGCTTACAGGATTACAGTAGGTATGTACTCACTGTGAGTATTATGTTTTACAAAATGTTGTAATAGGATGCTCTTGTGAGTGAGAGCTTTCAAATACCTTTCCTTTTTAAAAAAAAAATAAATGTCACTGAGAGGAGCAGCTCCAGTGTTGTAGCGTCAGACTGTTTCCCAGCCCTGTGGTCTCTGTGTGGAGGACAAAGATGAGTGGGACGCTCTGTGGATGTGATGAGAAATTTCTGCAGTGAAATAGTGCAGCTGTGAGTTGTATGAATATACGGATAAGAACATTTTCTTTTATTATGGTAAATAATCACATTTTTATATAGCGCTTTTCCACCTTCAAGTGCTTTACATCAAGGAACCATTCACCCACAAACCAACCTGTGGGTCAACTAGTGATGTTGGTGAACTGCCAACCTTCGGATCAGTGGACAAATGTTCTTCCAACTGAGCTACTGTCGCCCTGATTTATTATCATATAAATATGCAAAAATGACAGTGAAATACCGAAGCATCCTCACAACCAAATCTACAGTGTAGCCCTGGGGTTTTCTCATTTTCAGTAATGACCCATATTATGCTAAATTCTGTTTTCTGTTATAATCATCAAAACTTTCTTTACTTAGGCAGAGTTCTTCTCGAAAACAGAAAACACTTTGTTCCACCTTGTGATGTCATGTAGTCATACAGGAAGTGCACCATTGTGTTTTTTTCCATACACCTTCACTTGATTCATTTTGGGTGATATCAGCCCTGGCATTCCCAATCTCTACTGAACTAAAGGTAAAAGGGAGCTGTTACAACTACTGCTTCATGACATCACAAGGTGGAACAGAGCGTTTTGAGCTTTGAAGACGTAGACAGACTCCAACATGTGTAAACAAAATAAAACACAAGTCCAGGTTTTTGATGAGGTAACAACATTATAACATGACTAAAAGTAATATAAGACCTTTAATATTCAGTTCAGAGATACTCACTTGTATCTAGACGAGATATGTAAGCTTTCTTTACATTTCTTTTTCAGGAGTGGATAATGGCAGTGACATCCCAAGGGATTTGCTGGTGGCCATATTTGGTCGGATTCAGAAGTGGGAACTAAGGACAAATGACGATCACGTGACCCAGGTCCAGGCACTGGAGCGGATGGTGGTCGGCAAGAAACCGGTCTGTACCTTTAGTGGTTTTCTCTTTTTTTCTCTTTTTCTGTTTGAATATTTCATAAAGTACAGCACAGAGTTTGGTATAGAACATTCATAGAACAGTGAATCATTCAGTATTTATAAAGGTGTTTTTACATTATTCCCTTGAGCTTGGTGGTTGTTCTATGCTGTATTTATTCTGTTTGGGTATTTCCTTTTTTACGAGCTTTACAAAACTTAAAAGACTTACTAAAACTTATTTATCTTGATCTACAGTATAAACAATATGACATGTCTGTAAAATAACTGATCAAAAACACATGTTAAAAGTATTGGGATTAGCCTGCCCTCCTTCTGACTAAAAACAGCATTAAAAGTACTTTATATTGTTTTTGATAATCATATTTGTTAACTGCATGTAGACAGATCATATGAACATGTGCCAAAACACAAAGGCAGCTGTATTATGAAATCTAAATGTTCTTTTCAAGTTTTAATCAAGAATACACTTAATTTATAAATATTCTCTATCTAGAAGCCTTCAGTCTTCATATCTTAACCTATTTATATTATTGTTGACTACCCGACAACTCAAAGAAATGTAATGTTAGTTGCAGTCTGTTTGAGAAAGCTCAGATCCTTCCTAATTTGATCACTGAATTATGCCGTAAAAGCCATCTTAAAACATGTGGCATCTGCTTACATCAATCATCCTCACTTTATTTAAGTAAATGGTTGGAAATTTCAACTCCTAGATTGCTTGAATGCAAAATTAAGAAAATAAGGAATAGCACTTGTATTTTTAAATTGCAGCTAAAATATATACATATATGTTATATATTTCCAGGTGTTGTCACTCCCTCACAGGAGGCTGGTCTGCTGCTGCCAGCTTTACGAAGTCCCCGATCCAAACAGAGGACAGAAGTCTGGAGTTCACCAACGAGAAGTGTTCCTCTTCAATGACTTGCTGATGGTGAGCCTCTCTTCACTAAACACGGAGAAACAACACCGATTTTTCCTTTACATCCATCTCACACAATGTATTTAAAGGTGCACTATGTAACTTTTTGGCTGGAAGTCCTCCACCTGCTTGTTTCTGGAATGTTCCACAGTGTGACATTAAACAGCTCTACTTTACATTTCTTCAATTAGAGTTGGTTTTATAGCTAATACATAGAAAAACAGGAACTCTGAATGTGAGCGGGGTTGCCTTTCCACAGATGTGAACTGTAACTTGGTCTGGTTGGGTCTCCTTGATGATAGAAAGGTTTAATGCCTGTAAAACTGTGAAACATTCCTGATAAAGCAATAACATCTCCATGGAGAAAAGCGTTTGACGGACCCTCCACCAGAAAAGTTACATAATGCACCTTTAACTATATATTACTCGATTTGTGGCAGTTTACTGGTCAAGGCTCTTCATCATTATGTTATTTGCAGGTGACAAAGATATTTCAGAAGAAGAAGAACTCTGTGACCTACAGTTTCAGACAGTCCTTTCCATTAATCGACCTCCAAGTGCAGACCTTCCATAACAACTGTGAGTTCCTTTAAATCGAATATATAATATGTGTCTTCAATCCAATTCCATGATTCATTTATTTACACCTAACCTGACTAACACCACCTCTTCATCAAGGAGATCGGATATAGGCAAAACATCATGACAAATACTTCCAGTTTACTGGTCAAAACGTCACAACACCGGAACAAGCTGAATCATACTTTTGTTAAATCCAGCTGAGAGAAAAGCTTTGACAGCTTTCCCATCCACAAATGCTCAAAGCGCTTCTCTCCTTATCATTTCAAAAACAAAATAGTTTGGAACAAAAAATAGACTGAAGTACGTCCGTCTGTGTCGCCAGGTTTGATTTTGGTTTTGCATTTTCATTTTTTGACTTAAATTCAAATTTCAAACTTTGGAGGCCTGGGCAATTGCAAAATCTGGAGCCATGCCACATTTGTGAACTCAAAAAAGAATTCATCTTGCTGACCAGGTTAATTCACACTTTGTTAATGGTCAATTATTTATATTGTTGTATTTCAGTTTACCCTCATGGGATCCGGCTCACGTCTCAAACACCAGGATCCGAAAAGAAAGTCCTAATGGTTTTCAATGCTCCGAGTCACCAGGACCAAGCCCGCTTCAGTTCAGACCTGAGAGAGAGTATCGCAGAGGTGCAGGAGATGGAGAAGTACCGCCTCGAGTGTAAGAATGACATCTATAACTTTTACCTGCCTGGGTGGCATAGAGCTAACCCGGACCATTGTGTAGCCACTCAGGCTGTAGGTGCAAAATGAATTGTACTGTCTCTGTTTAATATTCTTTTAAATTATATCTGTGTTCATGGCAGCGGAACTGGAAAAACAGAAAGGACCAATCAGAGGAGAGCTTGTAAATGGTACCGGACCAATAAGAGGAGAGATGGTTAACGGGGTCCGCCCCAGTTTAGATGATTCATACGCCAATGACGGCCTTAAACGCAACGCATTAAACTCCTCTTTGAGAGATCTGACTGAGACAGGTGAGGTATCAACCCACAACCCTGAGATATACAAGCCCTGTTTGCTGCATATACTTATACATATATGTGTACTACATGTCTCTGCTGATCATGTAGTACACTGCAATGCTGTACTGTATGATTTTACACTATTTTTAACAGAGTGTGGGTTTCTTGCATAAAGAGTTCCACTTAAACAATTATTAGGCTTCACTTTGCAGTTTTTTTTATGTGTTGTTCTCTGATTGGCTCTTGTATTAACATACTGCGCTCTGATTGGTTACAGGGAAGCGTGGTCGCAGGAACAGTGTGGGTTCCCTGGACAGCACCATCGAGGTAAGTGCACATGTACAAAACTTAGGCAGGTCAAGTCTCTGTTGTTTAACCACATTGTGTCGCCCCTTTAGGGTTCCATTTTGTCAGGACCACACTGCAGAGAACAGCGCCCTCCTCAGGCTGCGCCCTTCTCACCTGTCTCTCCATCACCTGGTTTCCAGGGATACCGCTTTGGGGGTGTGCCCAAACCACCAGTCGCTGCGCCACATTCATCGTTTGCAGGACGTCGCGCAAAGATTCCGGTGCCTTTGGTGATGTCACCGCCTGTGACTCCACCCCCATTAACTCCACCCATTTCCTCTCCACCACACTACCCCGCTCCCTCTCCGCCTGTGGCCCCACCCCCTCCATATCACCTAGTCCAATCACAAGCTACCGCCAAACGGACAGTCTCTACTCCTCTTTCTCCAAGATCCCCGCTTCCTAGTCAATCACGTGTCCCCAACAGCAGCAACCAATCGTCTCGCAGCCCTGGGTATAAACTACCTCTAAGCTCCTCCCACTCTCATCCTCTGAGTCCTGCCCATTTCCTGTTCAGCGCCCCATCTGCCCGGTTGGTCCCTCAGCACTATGCCCCTCCCATGCCAGGCACTCTGGCCCCACCCCCTCGCTCGCCGCTCCCAGCAGGCGCCACAGCAACAGCATCTATGCCAACGGCAGCCATGGCAACAGGGACAATAAAAAACAAACAGAGCCGCATAAGCACCGTCGTCTAGATATTAATATATTTATACAGTTTGTCTGACTAACACTGAGTGACATCAGGGTTTGACATATAGAGATTTTAAAAGTATAAGAGACAGTACACGAGCAGAGACATCTTAACCTGTGCATCTAACACATTAAGGGATTGTCAGGGTTAGTGCAGAGGTGAATGGAGAATGTAATGAGAACAGCTTGTTCCAGGGTCAGGTTTTCTCTAGAACAGGGAAAAGAGTGTGAACAGCCCACTCAACAGTATATCAGCGCACAGAACAGAACTGCATTTTTGGAGTTATCTGAGGACTGTACAACCCGTTACCCTGCTCATGAAGGGGATTGCCAAAGTCCCTTTAGCTCACTGCGTATTGATGTGATTCTTCAGATACAGCTTTATCTTAAATACACCAGACTGTTACGACTGTGGACGCATCAATCAAACTTTTCCAATGCAGAGAAATGGTCCAGTTTGTATCTGTGTGTCAAACATCAGTTGATACTGATTCCCAGGTGGTTCCAGTGTTGACAAATCAAGGCATAAACTTTTGTTGGAACTCTCTTTGTGTTTCATCCATGGGTGAAGTCTGCTGCCAGTCTTCTGTACGATGTTGTTTACTTAAGAAAGTGTAAAACATACTTTATTTTTAAGGCAAATTTGAATATTGTTTTTTATGGACAAAGGTGAGCAGGACCAGAAGCATGAGAATCCCTCCAAAAATCAGAGTAGGATCCTATTTCATTTGTACAACACAGGGTCAATGCATGAACATCCAAGATTTTAACATGTTCTGATCTCTTGGGTATTGCATTACACACTGCCCTAATATTAAGGCTAGAGTTAAAAGGATACTTGTGTTGTGTGCAGTCAGTGTGGTACAAACTGTTTTAAAATCTTTTATGTGCACAGAATGTACCCCAGTGTGTCCAGTTGTTATTCCGTTGGTGATTGGTGTAAGATAACTCTAACCTAACTCTTGGGACAACAATCGTTTTAACTGGACAAAGGATCATTTGCGCTAAGACACATAAAACTAACAACATCAAGCATTACTTCCATATCTACAACTGAATTCACCCTCTTCCTTCCCAGCCCTTAACCCCCTGCCTGGCTTTTAAGCTTGGCGCACCTTCTTTACTCACAGAACCACAGGAATACTCAGAGGCAATGATTCCCTTTGGCTCAGACAAATGAACTCTGGGAAACTGAGTTCCTGCAGTAACTCTATAATTGGCTGTGGATGGATCAAAGCCACGTCTGACGTACACTCTTCTGATGCAAGGACAGATCTGTGTTGTGTATGTATCGTGTGCACAGTGAATGTGTGACTGCGTTTTGTTTCTATGCTCTCGAACCTTTTGAAGAGGGTTTTCTGAATGGACATTTTAAACAAACACTTCCTGCTGCCACTGATCTGGTTCAGAGCTAAAATAATGTGATTGCTTAAAAGTTTATTTTCAGATTATTTGAACTGAAGGAGTCTTTAAATGCACTTTCTGTCATCCGGGATTCTTGGATTACTGTTTATGAATGTAACTTTAAAAAGTTGGATAAAATGCCAAACCTTTAAGAGTTAATGGATAATTACTAAACCTAACCACAATGAAAAGTCCAAGGAAATATATTTGTAATAAAACTCCACTTTGGATTATTACAAAGTCAAGAGATAACCCCCAAAAACATTATTGAATTCGTACACTTTTGCACAACTTGGCTTTCTCAAACTGGTTCAATTTGAATATCTTGCTGAAATGTAATAATAATGAAGTGAGAGGGAATTAAACAGAGCAATAACAATGTGGGACTTTTTTTTTTTCACAGCCTGAAGTTGTTTCGCTTATGAATGTGTTTATTGAAGATGTCAGAGTTTCTTTTGAAGCGGCCTTTAGACTCACTCTGGACCTATCGGAACCAGTCAGACACAGTCTGAGTGAGTCCAGAACCGGTTGGGACTGATCTAACTATGACACAGCGCTGTATATTTGCTCTTGGTTTCTGTCTCCAATGTACAACTGACAATGACCAGGAGTAAGCCAGTTTTAAACCAGGTCTACACAATGATCAAAAACAGTTCACTAGAGATCAAGACTTTCCAATGTCCCTAAACATGCATGTAAATAATATACTTTACTTACTTAACTAGACTAAGTACAATCGATTAGACCTGGTCTATATCTGGATTCTTCCTGGTTTAAACAACGCTAAACAGTCTTTAGAAAAGTGCATCTGCTTCTGTGTAGTGACCATGCTCTGCCTGTGGGGGCAGTGTAGGTTGCATGTTTTTCTGCGCTGTAAATAAGAACAACATAATAAATCCAAATGTTCAATGATTGTTGTTGCCCTCCTGTTATGCCATAAAAGGCCTTTGTTCTTTGAGCCTCTACATGTTTCATCATTTTTTTTAATGTTTCACCACCACCAGTGCTTTCACCTGGTTGTTTTAGTGTTTTACTCTTTACTGTAATATTGAATTCATCAGAAAGTAGATGTGTCAAACCCAAATAACCACTAACCAAACAGGAATAAACAAGACCTATTTGAGGTTTCCATTTCATAACAGAAACATGCAAGTATATTACTCACTGCTTTCTCAGGATGTAGGCAACACGTGTTTGACAATCGCTACTGATGCTTGTTTGTAACCTGTTTTGTTTTGTATCCCATAGTTTTTGACAATTTTTCAGACTAGATTTCAGACTTGTTGTTTCTGAAAAAAGATATGGTAATTTTTCTATAGAAGTATGTCTGCCTAAGCCATATTGGTCTTGTCAAAAACAGGCCAATACTGGTCATTTACACCAGTATATTGCAGAATAGGATACACTAAAGTAGATTGCAGAATAGGAAACATTGAAGTAGATTGCAGAATAGGATACGCTAAAGGTGTCCCTTGCTTTGCCTAGAATGTTTACAAAGCACTGAAATGATCTTGCAGGCATTTTTTGCAACAAAATAGTTTTCAAAGTGGCATCATCTACTTGTATGTCTAGAGATAGATCAGTTTAATGCAAATCACTAATACTGCATATAAAACATGGAATCAAGCAGATGGCACTGGCCGACCTTCCACCTAACAAATGTTCCAGTGCACCTTTACAATCATCCTTCCAACCTGTGGGGTGAAGTGACCAAGACTTACCTGAACCAAACCAGGTTTCAAAAACTGAACATTCAAAATGTGTCTTAAATCACATACATTACACTTATATTCCACTGCACTAAAATGCTATAAATGGCAACTTATTTTCTCTGGAAAAGATGTGATTTAACAGATTAATATTAACAATCCAAAAGTGAAGCTAATAATTCATAAAATTTAGTGTAGGTTTATAATTCTGCTTTTCATGTTTTGTGGTCTATTCTTTTCTATCAGAACCTTATTTATTTATCTATATCCATCCTGAGGCGTTCCTAGATCAGTCGTGAACCACAGTCCCTCCAGCGTGTCCTGAGCACAAGATGAGTGTTACTGTGAAACTCATTTTGGAGGAAATTAATTTTAACCGCTTGTTCTTTCATTGGTTTCCTAAATTTCATTGGGATGAATTGGGCATGTTAATGGACATGATGCAACTTGAATGTAACAGACTGAATGTAGCCAAAGGAATCTGTGCAGTATTTCATGTTTGTTTCATCTGTCTGTAAAATTACTCACTATTACTCAATTTGCTGTGTGAAATGATGATTTTCTGGGGGAAAGTCCGCCACCTGCTTTTTTTTTTTTTTTATAGATCAGCAGGGTTTTTTTTTTTTTTTTTTTTTTTTTTACCAACGTGATTATTGGTGTAAGAAATATAAACCTACTATTCTAAAACAGATTAAACAGACAAAGGACCCAAAATGCCCAAGTCTGGACTCAAAAGGTACCTTGATAAACATCCTTACTGTAAACATGGTCACTGCTCCAGTTTTGAGATGTACCTGTAAGCCTGTCTCCATGGAGATAGGTATATACCATGCCTGCAACATTTCAGAAGAAGCAATAACATCTCCATGGAGACAGCATGGGTAGATGCCAGAAAGTTACTATAATAGGCCTAATAATATTAGCCTACAGTATGGGTAGTGAGGAAACCATTTGGAGGAGGTCATTTGTGGGGGTTAGTTTGTGAGTTTGTTCAATTTTGAGATGTTTTTTAAGGTGTTCTGTAGGGATACAGTTGCACACAAGGGGCATGGAGCCTTTTTTCCCCATCAAATTTATTGCATATATACAGTATATACAAATTATTCTAAACATACATACAAGAAAACAGATACACAGTATACACAAAGATGACAAGACATAGAGGTAGTTAAATGATTCAGATTAATAATTTAAGTTCTTTATAAATTGATAACATCTAATTAGCTTTGAATTAGGAAGGTTTTCTAATGATTCAAAATAATACTTTAGATTGCATTTGAATTGAAAGATATTAGAATTGGTGTGATTTCACTTATGACAAACAACCATGGATCTATAATATAACCTTTTTATTTTAGATTTTTAAAAATGTATTTATTTTATTATGTTTTATTTTTTAAATATATATATTTTTTATTATTTTACTTTAAAAATATTTTAGATTATTATTATTATTTTTTTTATATTTACTTGATATTTTATTCTATTTCTATGCAAAACAAAACAAAAAAAAAACCTAAACAAAACAAAAAAAACGATGGAGCCAGAGGGCGTGGCCAAAGCGTACGTCATCAAAGTTCGACTATTTTTTTCAAAGCGACGCAGCATCCATGGACAATTACACTTCTATTATTTTATCTGAAAAGATGTTATAACAAAACATCTAGACTTAACAGAAAGTATGTGTTTATTACCTACGGCGCTATTTCGAATACATTATCGGACCGCTTCTTATAGGAAACTGCACTGGTGAAGATACGCTTTGTTTGTGTGCGTTTCTAGCGAACTCCAAGAGAAGATGACAACCTTAACAAGACAAGATCTCAATTTTGGAAAAGGTTGGCTCAGAGTTTATTGTTTGCGTATTACTGCATGTTTTTACAGTTGTTAGACTACATGACTTCAATTTAGACGTGATATGTTGTGCAATAATCCAACTAGCATCTGACACTTGAATTCTTTGTCTTGTTTACAGTTGTTGCTGATATCTTGTGCGAGTTCCTGGAGGTCGCCATTCACCTTATCCTTTACGTCAGGGAAGTGTATCCATCTGGGATCTTTCAGAAGAGACGGAAATATAATGTTCCTGTCCAGGTAGAGTCAGTTTGTGTTTTAATTTTTGCTTGTTTGTAGACGGGATTGCAACATGGTAAATTCCTTATGTCTTAGTTGGCCTGTCATGATAATTACTGTATCATTCAATATATGAAAGCTGGAACAATATATTTTGGTGCTAGTATTTATTGTGGGTACTTTTTCTTTGCAATAGTGGGGAGATTTTTCCCATTTTTATGTAATAATGTAAGATTTGAGCGGTATAGTGTAGAACAGGGAACTACCAGTAGCTTCCACCCTCCTCCAAGTAGCTCGCTAAAGAATTTCTGAATTAAATATATTATGCTTAATAACTAACATCTGATTATTTATCAGTTGTAAATTTATAATTTAGATGCCTGACTTCTGCACTAATGAAGGTATAATTGTATATGTTTTATAAGCTTCCAACTGTACCCCATCTAAGCCTCGCCGTGGCTCTTATACTTTCTCAATTTCTTGCGGCTGCTGAAATTAGTAGCTCTCTGGCATTTTTGTTTTGTAAATGTAGCTCAGCAAAGGAAAAAGGTTGGAGACCTCTGGTGTAGAATAAATAACTTATATGGATAATTAACGGCTCATTCTGACATTTATTTGTTGCAGCTTAGATTTTTTAATGATACTGTCTATTTAAAATTGGTTTACTAGAATTGTCCGGCCTTGTGTCAGTGGCATATTTTCATCTATTTTCATGCTTCAAAATTTTTCATCGTGACAGGCCTACTTTTGTGGCTTTTTCAGTCAGAACCATTTTCAGTCTTACCTTGATTATTTTATTTACTATTCCTATGTGTCTTCCACAGATGTCCTGCCATCCAGACCTGAATCAGTATATTCAAGATACTTTATACTGTATAAAGCCTCTTATTGAGAAGGTAAAGGAAAAACCTGTTTTCTTCCTTCCAGTGCTACTAATGCTTCTAATTCTACTTGTCTATTTTTGCAGAATGAAGCTGAGAAGGTGGTTGTGGTTATAATGGATAAAGGGCACCATCCAGTGGAGAGATTTGTGTTTGAGATTTCCCAGCCAACGTTGCTTTCAATTAGGTATTTGTTTGTATGATTTTGAGAACTCATACTGAGATAGTGTAGAGTGGACAATTTGTGACTGCTGTTAAAGGGCTCATATTATGCTATTTTTAAAATCTATGTTATGATGTTGTTTCCTCATCACATGGACTGAATTGTTTTGTTTCATCCACACATGTTTAACACACTAACCCCTTCATATTTAGTTCCTCCTTCAAACAGAAAATACTCAGTTCCACCTTGTGTTATGAAGGTGCTCCACAGTGTTTTTAAACTCCATTCACCTTTACTAGAATCATTTGGATAACTTCAGCCCTAGAATTCAATCTCTACTGAACAAAAGGTAAAAGGAGCTGTTAACTGGGAAACTACCCCCACGACACCACAAGGTGGAACAGAGCATTTTGAGCTTTGAAGAGGTAGACATAATAAAGGATTACTCAAACATGTGAATAAAACAAAACACAACTCCATGTATTGTTTCTGAAGAGGTAACAGCATTTTAACATGAGTTAAAGATGTGTAACATAGGACCTTTAAAGTAAAACCCACCTCTTCATTAGTCTATTCTGTGGATGTTTTGTGTCTGACTAACTTCTTTGGTTTATGCTGTTGCAGTTCTGAGACACTACTGTCACACGTGGAGCAGTTGCTGAGAGCTTTTATCCTGAAGATCAGTGTGTGTGATGCAGTTTTAAATACTAACCCACCAGGTACACATATTTCAAATATATGCATAAAATAAGCACACTCTTGACCTGATTATTAATAATATATTTTGATTTATTTATAGATTGCTCTTTTTCTGTGCTTGTTCACACGAGAGAATCTGCCACACGTAACATGGAAAAGGTTCAGGTTATAAAGGTAAGGTATTTGAAATGTTTATTAGATTTTCTTATTGCACTTATGTGTAACATGCTTATGATTTCTTAATACGCCGCCTCGATGAAAATCTTCAGATTAAGGAATACATCAAGTATTTGATGTGACTCAGGTGGATCAAAACCATTTTATGACACAATTGGTGTAAATTAGTTGATTAGACTATTGATTCAGGATAATTGCTTTATCAAAATAGCTCTCTTATTTTATCATTATTAAAAGAGAGAATATTGAATTTAACTTGCATATGGTGTTCAGATTGTACTTTATTTCTGGAAAAAACATAAGAAAAGGTAATTCCTTAACTACCTTGCAACTATACAATAAAACATATATATATAAAACATGATAAAAATCTTTTACCATTTAAATAAAATACTTAAAGCTGAACTGTAAGGCAGGTCAATGGGAAAGACCTGAGGTGTTGTGAATGCATTGGGTAATAGCTGGTGGGGCTCTCCTTCTTGCTTTGTTATTAAATCAATACAAATGTTTATACATTTGTTTGTTTATACAGTTGACTATAATGTCATAAATGTAGCCTATAGCTGATAGTTAACTGTGACATGTTGTCAGGATTTCCCATGGATTGTTGCTGACGAGCAGGAAATCCACATGCAGGAACCAAGACTGATTCCCCTGAAGACAATGACCTCTGATATTGTGAAGGTACATGAGATCAACTTTACATTTTTAACTTCCACCACAGTAGAAATGTGTCTTTGGTTTACCATCACACGACAAACTAAATAAAATCATTACAAAAGGTGACTGTTACAATTAACAGACTTTTAAAAAGTCTGCTCTGCATGAAAAGTGTAGTGTGGTGCAACTTTCATTTGTGCTTTTTACTGCATTTAGCATACATGAATATTTTTTCCCCTTTATACACTTTCTTTGTTGCTAGAGCCAACAAGATTGATAAAACACAGACTTGTACTAATACAATTTATTAACTTTTACAGATGCAGTTGTATGTGGAAGAAAAGGCCCAGAAGATTTAAACTGAACCTTATTTCACACACACACAAAAAAACTACAACAACAAAAAAACTAAAAAAAATGGCTGTTGGAGGTGATAACTGAGAAGTATGCTGACTTTTTTCTGTAAACTATTCAAATAACTACAGCCCTCCTTTGTAAATACTGTGTGAACCAACAAGATTGTGAATGCTTGTTCTTATTGTTTCAAACTATATACTGTAAATACAAAATGCATCAGCAGGATTTGAATATAGCCTTGTTTCTCTTTGCCCTATATTCCCTATGAATCATTGCTGGAGAATTTTTAGTGATGGTCTTTGCTACAGAAAAATTTTTAATCCAATCTATGAAAAAAACTCATATGTAGGGTGTCATAATGTCTTTAACATTGTAATCCATAAATAATATGATCATACAAGAAGAATAAAATGGGAGAAGTAATGGGTCATTATTTTAGTGAAGCTGAGCCAAATTTTTTGTATTGTAATTATCAGCAAAACCCACAGAAGGTCTAGCACTAAAGAGCACCCGACATCAAACTGTAATCCAAGATAACACTATATTTTGTCCCCATCTGTTCTAATCATTGCAGCTCCCAAGGACCTTTGAACAGAAGCCTGATAGTATGTTAACCATTACCTTACACTGCACTGAGAACAAGCCAAAGTCCTACATTCAGACAATGTTAGACGGCAAGCCAAGCTTGTTGTACAGCAACTGAAGCTGAACACATGATCGTTGACCCTAAAGCTCAAAAACAAAGTGTAAGTAGGTCTACAAATTACAGACAGTTGTATGAGCTGGCATCCCAGCTGAAAGATAAAATACATGTAGGCCAACTGTATGAGAAAATCTATGTGTTTATCATTTAGTGCTTAAAAGGGCTGATCTGTTTAATAAGCTTAGGTCAGTGGTTCTCAGAGTGGGGTCAGCGAACCTCTGGGGTTTGTCCACAACAAGCAAGAAAGAAAATGTAATTTAAATCAACTTTACAAAAAATATTTGTTTATATTTCTTTATATCATTATTAAGCCCTATGTAATGTATTATTTTAACATAAATCTAAGGAGGAAAAGATTGCATAACCTTTCATAATGTAAAATATTTGAGGCTCAGGGCTGTGTGGTCTTAGCATCAATGGGGGCTGTGGCACAGCAGACTTTGGGAATGACTGGCCTAGGTTATTAGAAAAATTCACCATGCATATGTGCAACATAATTATGACCTATTGTATCCTATAGTGGCACCTATAGTGCCATTATAGTAGGCAACTTTGAGTAAGCTTCTCAGATGGCAGGGATCCTATCCAGGGGTTTTCTCACGCATGCGTGTAGACTGGCGGCGTCTTCATCGCGGAAAAAAAGAAATGACCACATTAGCCACGCCTGTGTGAGCGCCTCTCATTACAGGCAAAGGTGCTGCATCTTTTTAAAAAGCTAAATGCCTTTCGACACCAAAAGGTCGCATGGTGTCAGGGGCGCGCCTAGTCACGGGAACAGTCCGAGGCGCGTTCACGAGGAGGTGCAAGATCGCGCTTCAACTATGGAGAGTATCAAACAGAGTGCAGAGATCCAGCGCAATGGTTTACATCGGGTCACAGCGACCATTCAATGAATTGCTCCGGTATTTTTCTTCAGCCGTAGATTTTGCGAAGACTTATATCTTGCACAAAAGAAACTAGCAAACACATCTGTATGAGCGCAGAGCTGGAGCTCAAATTATGGTCCGGGAAACCAGACATTTATGGGTGGGAAATTTACCTGAAAATGTCCGAGAAGAGAAAATCGTTGAGCACTTCAAACGGTAAGTAGCCTATCAAAGAAGCACAAATTCCCTTTTTGTTCATATGCAGACGGCACGGCGGCATCCTCCTCTGGCACATTTAGAACCTGGATGGAGCAGCAAGTCCCTTTGCCAGTCCGTAAGCAGCGTGAGGAGAGAGCGCAGACACATCTTGCGTGTGGCGCCGTCTCGGAGCCGGAGATGTAATAAGCTTAACTTTTCGCGGACTGTCTTTCTGAAGCGAGCCACATTGACTAAATGGTTCTGCTTTTAAACACAACCCTGTGAAGAATATGTGGGGACCTTGTATTGTACATCAGTGCGTTCATCCAACACGCTGTCTCCGCCGACAACGTGCAGCCTGTTATCATGCACTGTAGCGAATGCCAGCCGAGGAGCCGCTGTCCGTGCGGTGAGCTCACATCGACATGGTCATCCCAAAAGCGCTTCTCTCGGTTCACTGATGGCCACTGCCGTGTCGAAGGTAGCTAGACATCACGCCGCCACCTAGAAATCAGCATTTGATCGAGCATAACGCCTCGCTCACACGTTGGCAGCAATACTGTTGATGCAGAGGCGAAGAAAAGCCATCTCTGCAAATTACCTTGGGAAGCAGTTTGCAGGACTAAATCTGCCTCCACTCTGGCTTTATATCATACATTTCCCCCCCAAAATGTCCTAGGGGATGTGTGGACATTAATGATAAAAGCCCACTGCCGTAGGCTCATTTGCACAGATTTTCTTTGATGCATATGCATATGATTTGTTTGGATACTGTGTGCGCGCTCTCGCCACTCCGGTCGGCTGTCAAGGAAATGGCAACCCGCCACCGTACACTGTTAGACAGCCTTCTGTAATAAAGGCTATTTTTCTGTTTCACGTGTCGCCTCACCTACCCTCATGGACAGCGAAATCAAAGCTCATTTACGAGCGTGTTAAATAAATTGATCTGCTTCTTCTTGTACCACAGTGCCTTCATGACGCCTCTTGTGTCTTGTGTGGTGCAGCCTTGCAGGGGACTTTGCCTATAATGTTTATTTGAGCCTCTGCAGATGTGCGTAGCGTTCCGTTGGTAAGCGCATTTGCGGTAGGACACTGCTCTGCGCCCTTTTCTGCCATGCACCAGTGTGTGTCCGTGTGCCGAGAGCGAGCGGTCTGCAGGTGCATGGAAACCTTACGTGTGATAGGAGCCATTGAAGATGGGAAACGGCACAATGAGTAAACAGTGCGAGCAGCTTTTCTAAAATGGCGTCGGAGGCTGTTTGGTGTTGGGATACATTTATAGGCACCCCACTTGTGTAGGAGCCGCCGATAGGAAAACAGCCCAGTAGGCTAATGATGCGTAGGGAAAAGACTATTGTTGACTGTTCAAAATGTAACCAAATATTTCCATTTAATAAAGCTTCTAAATTCTGGAAAAACAAAATAAATGTGATGATGTTAATATTTGTGCATAGGCTTTAGAGCATTCTTAAAGATCTGGTGGTGTGTTAATTGACTTGGATGGAGAAGGGGCATTTACAGGGTTTGTGCAACTGCGCCATTGTAAAACGTTATTCGTTGTAGTAAAAGTTTAAGTTCACAGGGACTTTGAACTGTTGACATATCTCATGTCAAAACAAACCTCAACACCTCAAAATGTTGAAGCTTTGGGGATATGTGTAGCTCTGGTTTTGGATTTTTTTTTTTTTATAATAGCCTAATAATGCATAAAAATATATACACTGAATTTCATTAAACTTTACTTAATGAATAATTAGTTACACAAAAGGACTGAAAGTTTACAATCATTAAGATTATGTGTGCACAGTCTCAGTCTGATAGCTTTAAAATGTGCTATATTTTGCTTGAAATTATTAGCATGCAATAGCCACATTTATACTATTACATTTACCACTAGACACTCAATATTTTTGACACCCCCTGACTTAAATGTAGCCTATAATGTCTCCTAATAGTTTGGTATGCAATGATTATTAACATGTGTTTTATCCTTTTTAGATATGGACGTGTGGAAAGTGTCAAGGTCCTTCCAAAGCGAGGTTCTGAAGGAGGAGTGGCTGCATTCGTGGATTTTGTGGACATTAAAAGTGCTCAAAAAGCTCACAATGCTATCAACAAGATGGGGGACAGAGATCTACGGACCGATTACAATGAACCAGGAACCATCCCTAGTGCTGCACGGGCACTGGACGATAGCCTGTCTTTAGGTTCTCGTGGCCGGGATGTATCAGGGTTCACAAGGGCGTCCGGTGGGTCAGTATATGGCCCAGCCACGTCACTCCACAGCAGAGATGGACGCTATGAACGCAGACTAGACGGGTAAGTGGATTCAGTTTCTCCGAAGGCAGAGGAAACTGTGGTAACTTGTTAACACCTCACCACCAAGCATCTTTTCATCATCTTTCATTTATTTGTTGGGGGTTTAAAATGAGGAGAATTCCAGAAAGAAAGGATATTTAGGGAGTAACCATAGCCCATTGGATTTGTCCTTAATGGCAGCGTGTATTTAGAGTGAATAGAGAGAAGATAATGTATTTGTGGATGTATAATTTTCCCAAAAAACATGGGGCAAATATTGGATTTCGCAAAATTCCCAGGATTCTTAGAGATTGTGAGAGGGAGGGGGAGAGAAGGAAAGAGAGAGTGGTCCATCGGCTATCGCTGGGATTTGATTATTCTGGAGTGCCTTGCTTGGTGGATGTATTCTCTTCCAAGTGTACACACCACAGAAAATTACACATATTTGGATATTACTTAAAACATGCCAACAACGTACTTCTCCAGGACGAGTGGAGATAAATACAGGATCTATACCACTGTCTGGAATATCATGAAATGCACAAAACGGATGTACCCCTCAAGTAATGATGGACTACATTTTTATGGAATCCTACCTCAGACCTGGACACTGCTATAGGAGTGAGACCTCTGCTGGTTGTCCAACAAGCAGACTCATGATAAAGGGACCTGCTTTTCCTGCTTCAATTCTTTTCTGGAGAACTGTACATTTTTGAAGGGGGTCACCAAAGACTTTGAGACTTTGGATTGTACAGTTATGGTACCTACCGCATGTCGGTGGAATATTCCCCTAAATGAGAATATAATAAAACTATGGACAAAAAACTATGGATACAAACTTTAAATGGATGAAGATATAATGTGATTGGACAGTGCGGCCATGTTTGGAATTCCTCAAAGATGGAAAAACAGCATTCGGATTTTTTTTTATAATTTTTGCTGCAGAAAATCATCTCAAATCTGGATTACCTCCTGGTTCTAGTGGAATTTCATCATTTGTAAACACTGAACAGAGACCTTCAGATGTCCTAATGGGTTTTTGGATGTACTACAAAGTTCACAGAAGATGAAATACTAAAACCATTTTCATCCTTCTAAGCAAAGGATACCCATACTGATGACTGTGGCATGTGTTTTTTTGTTTGTTTGTTTTTTACCGGAAAAGACCAAGCCTACTCTGCCGTAAAGACACACCATACACCATCTCCAGTCAAGACAGTAAGGATTACAAATTACTGCCTGGACTATAAGCTTCATTTTTTCCACTCGCAACATTTTTGTCCATCTTTTCAGCTCACAAAACTATCTCCTTACATTTTATTTGGAATTATAGGTCAAGTTACCACTCTCTCAAAAGGTTGGTATATTCTGCCCTGTGTATTTTAGCTGTCCTCTCTAACCCCCTAGTTTGAACCTCCATTTCCCCACTAACCTCAGTATATAGTTCATAGACTGTTTCAGTCTGTAAACTCTGTAAACTACTTTTCACTTTACCTTGAAATGTTATCTGATTTTGTTTCCTCTTATATTGTCTTCCTAAGTTTCTCTGCTTTCAAAAAAATCAGTACCCATTGCATAGCTGCTATTAAAACCACCTAAAACTATCTTTTTACAATGTAGTTGTACAAAGTAAAGTAGTTGGTTCCATGAAATCATTGTTATTCAATATATTTGCATTGCCTTAATCCTTTTTTAAAATCTTTTTTTACCTTGTATGACCCAAGATGACACGTTACACAACCATAACTAAACATATCCTGATCAAAATAGTGATTATGCTTTACTTGTCTCCACATTTATCACTGCAACACACACATGTGAACTGTAGGTTACTACAGGCTAAGCCCAAACTGAGATGATTCGTCTGTACAGGATGTGAGTTGGAAGGGTCTGGTGATGTCATAATACTATTTTAAATTAAATTAAAACTCTTTTTTTTTTTTTTATTAAATTAAAACTCAGTTTTGATAAGGAAAATACTTTAATAGTACAATATCATTTTCAACTCAAAATATTTAGTAGTTGTTCCCAGCATTAGGTCTGAAATAATGAACATTTTAAAACAATTCAGGAAATGTTCCCATTTTTAGGTTAATAAACTAAGCAGCAAGAGGCTGCAGTCAGCCATCTCCATCACACTAAATACAGTGAATTTGTTCAAATAAAAAACAATGTCATTCTCTTTATTTCACAACAAACATTTATTGAACGTGCTGTATTAACTAACCTTAATCCTAATCTGTTCTGCCATGTGCTGTTGGCACATAACAGGGAAAATACTTGTGTACCTGATCATAATAATTAGGACAACACCAGTTAGGACATTTTAGGACCCATGTTCATTTGAGTTTGAATAACTGATCTATTGTCTGAAATTACAACCATTTTAATTCGTATTACAGATCAGCTTTTCCTCCTGAACATGCTATACAATCTATTACAATTACATCTCTGCATCTATGACTACAGCCTACAACCAGACACTCACATTCAGACTCAAAAAGGCAAAATGTCTTGCCAAAGCTTTGTATGTGCAGGAATTGATCCCCCAACCTCCGGGTTGGTGGGAGAGTGCACTAACCACTGAGCTACTGTCACCCTGAATATTACACACACGGAGTGTGATCCTTAATAATAGCCAAGTATTTTTAAATAAATCCACACATATGCACACATTTCCAGTGTGTACTGAATAAAGCAGGAGTGTGCAAATGTTGGTGTTGTGAATTTGTCTCGACCATTGGCTGAATGTCTCTACACTCTCTCTCCTCATTTCACACTCCTGCTGTCCTCCTGTCCAATAAAGACCACAGACCGTTTAACTAAACGGAAAATAACTGCAGGTGTGATATGGACAATTTGTACAACAAACAGGGCCAAAACATAAAAACTTGATTTTAACTGAAGTCAGAGCAGTGACTGCTCGTGTTTTAAACAGAGGAAGCTCTTTACATTTTCATTCTTCTTCTTCAGTTACATTTGTATATATAAGTAATCTATTTTTAATAGTTTAAATTATTTTATCAATATATTATTATATTTTTGCACCATAACCCTTCAAGTAAAAAATCAAGAGTAAACCTGTTTCATAAGAATCCTCGATTATTAAAAATATGAAATAATAAGATGTATTTAATTAACTGCCTAGTAACAACTAATGGGATTCATTTGATTAATTGATTATTCCAATAATCAACAATGTATTTAGTAATCAATAAGATTTGTTTAGAAGACTACATACTATAAAACTGAGCGGAGCCCCTAAAGTTCTCATAGGATAGTATTTTGTTCACATAAGATAATCTGTTTAAGGTTATACAGACGCTCTGGAGCCACAAGACAAACTGATATTTGTAATATAACGTCTTATTATAAAACATTACAGATGAATACACCTCAAATGTTGAGCTCAAAGAGCCTTTCATGGGCTATGGCTTCAAAAATATATGATTCAGTGAACTCAAGGCATCTTACAGAAACTTCAGTTTTACCATTCACCAGCAGAGTCACCTTTCCATAGATCTGACCTGTATATTTGGCCTGGTGGGTGTTACCTGCTTTTCTCATGGCAGATAGAAGTTTAATATCATGCTGTGGAACATTCCTGCCTAACCAGCCAGTCCCTTCTACGGTTTGAATCCAGAAAGGTCTGGAATTGGACCATAGAGCGTGAAAAACCTCCTAACTTGAGATGGTCCAACCACAGCCTCTAATTTGTAGCACATGTTTATGAAATGTGGAAGACATCTCCACTCAAAAATTCTTGCAACATTTAGAACTAAATATATAACTTATTTTACCTGATATAAATTACTTGTTTGTGTGTTGATTCTGCAGAAATCTGTTCTTTCTCAGTCTTCAGCTGTATTTTTTCTCTTTTTTTAATGTAAGCGGCCATGTTTTTTTACACATCTCTCTGATTGGTTTAACTGTCTGTCAATAACGCCCAACTCAAATCATGGAGACAGGACTCGATTCCAGACCCAGTTGTCTTTGTAAAATTTTGTCAAAACGTTATTCTGGCTGGTCAGGTAAGGACAGTCCAGTATTGTGGCAGACCGTCCACAAGAAAAAATGACATAGTGCAGCTTTAAAGGTGAAGACATTTGAGTACACGTATGTGGGCCATTGCTCTGGTTGTATGCGCCCTTTATCTTGTGTGAACAAGGTAATTTATTGGACTTTTACTGGACTTTATGGGGCTCAGTAATAACCTTATTAACACAGTGTGATAATTAAGTCTGAACAGGACAGGAAGAAAGTATATTTTAACACTTCCTTTAAGACGTCCTCAGGCAGTCCTCAGAGTGTCGCCATTAATTGAATTTAAATCAAATCAATATAAAGTGTTTTCAGATTGCAGTGATGTGCTTGGGGCTTTTAATCAACATTATAACAGTCAAGCGAAAGCATTTGTTTTTGTTTGTTTTTATATGAAATAGCACTGACTAAAAGTAATCTTAAAGGTGCATTATGTAACTTTTCTCTTTAGGGGAGCTCTGTCACAAGCAGGTGGCAGACGCTCTACCTGGAAAGTTGCGTAGTGCACCTTTTATATTTTATTAATTACAAACCCTGTTAACACTAAAGAAAAATCAAACTGAAAGGTGGAATAAAATTTTTTGACGATTACAGGCGTGATTTTCCTTTGCAAAAAGGACTAAGATACAAGATTATTATAGTGATCTATATTAGGTCTGTGGACCTAATAAAAATGTACTAGTAGGTATAAATTAATATAATCTTTTTAAATGTTTTATACACTCGCTATTAAACACATTTATCAGCTGTTATCAGAATGTGTTAAATATACATTTTTCAAGTATTGTCTGAAAATACATTGTAAGAAGATGATGTCCCTGTAAATTCCATGATGTGTGCACCAAAATTCACTCATGTTACTTTGCACTGTTGGTGCTTGTGGAGTTCTGAACTGACCCCACACTGTGGAGTCAAATATTGTTTTATACACACAGAGATATGGACACACAAAAAATATTTGTATAGGCATATGTTCAAAATTAATGTGAAATCTTTCACTCCACTCTGCTTAAGTTTGAAGTGTGTTTTGAATTTTATTTTATTTTTTTTAAACTAAAAAGAGAAACAAGGATTTTGTAATCTGCACTCTGCATGTAATCTTAGCTTCTTAAAAACAAACTTTAGTTTATGTTTTTGGTGAAGTTTTGTTCCCATTATTTCATGCTGTGTTTTCTCTTGTTTGTCAGAACTGCTGAAGGTCGAGATCGGACATTTGACCACAGTACCTATGGACACCATGAGCGCCCTGGCAGCAGTTTTGAGCGCCAGCGCCATTATGAAGCAGACTATTATCGCAGCTCTGGGAGTAGTTCTGGCTCCACTGGCTGCACTGGGTCAGTGGGGACATCGGGGGTCGGTGGAGCTCTTGGGGGTGGTCCCACAGGTGCCACTGGAGCTGGAGCAGCTGGGTCTGCTGGGTGCACCACAGGAGCAGGTGCAGGATCAACATCCAGTGTTGTTGCCTTCTACCGCTCCCACAGCAGGAGTCCATGTCGCTTTGAAACGGCAGAATCTCGTTACGAATCTCGAGCCAGGGAGGCCTTCACTTTAGCTAGTGTGGTTCACAGGGACCTTTACAGGGAGGAGAGGGCGCGTCGAGGGGACAGATCTTATCGACGCAGTCGCAGTCGCTCGCCGCACTCCGTTCACTCTCGGAACCCGTCTCCTCAGAGACTGGGCCCGGCCCCTCGTGCCCCCTGCTCCCGCAGTGGCTCCGGCTCTCACAGCCGCTCTTCCAGTTCAGACTCTGTGAGCAGCACCAGCAGCAGCACCAGTGCCAGGTAAGGACCTCTTTTAGTGCTGTCAGTTTAGACAGATTTTTGGAATTTGACTTTTTAAAAATATAAACCAGCAGATTTTAGTAAGAGCTCTGTCCTTCCAGATGTGCATGTTCTGTGCTGTTTTCTTTCATTCTATGCATTCTATGTCTGCTGTGCTGATTGATTTTTCTCGAATAGATAGAGTCATTTCATCAGGCACACTACCTTTTAGACAAATATATTTATGTAATTGTTTGTTTTATTATTCTATTCTATAAATATTGGGTTCTCCTCTTGTGTTTATTCTGCACGTCTCAGGATCAAACAAGGGCACATATTAAAAAAAAAAAAAAACAGTGAAAATTATATATAAAAAAGGAGTAATAGCTTCCTTACATATCGTTTTTATTAAAAGAGCTACATTATTAATGTAGTTGAGGATCAGTGCTTTTACATTGTGAGCACTGAGCATTCTTAATTGTGTATTTGATTAGTCGCAGTTGAAGTCTGAGTGTATAGCGACACATGTGGTGTAATGGGGTAGTGCTTCAGGAGAAAATCAGGAGATGCTGCCTACCTCTGTGTATGGGTATTAGACCCCGCCTCCGTGAGATCCAGTTGGAACTGGAAAATTCTGGCCACTGCTGGCTGTTTGCCCACTCCCACAGGCCAGGCTCTGTCAGCAACACTTCCGGGAGTGTCTGGACAGAGGAGGGAAGAGAAAGTGAGATGGAAGCAGACACCAGAGGGCATGCAAAACCAAGCTCAAGCATAGGGGACATTATGTAAAGAGCATGAGCCAGACAAAAGACCGTGTCTCATGAGGAAATAATGATTATTTTGCAAAATATTTCATAACTATTACATTTCTGTGTTGCTGTGCTGGACAAAATAAATGTATATGTATTTGCATCTATTTACTTTTCATTCTGAATCGGTACATTTACCACTCATAATTGTAACCATACATAATTATTTGTATGCTATTGTTTTTCCTTCTACACTTGTGGTCAGTGATTCTAGCAGTAGTTCCAGTGATGAGTCTCCAGCTCGCTCTGTACAGTCTGCAGCTGTTCCTGCTCACTCAGCGCTTCTTTTATCCTCTTCACTCGACAAGGATGAACCACGCAAAAGCTTTGGCATTAAGGTCCAAAATCTTCCTGTACGCTCAACAGGTTCGATTATTTCATTTCAGATGAAGTCATTAAAATATAAATATACCCCATAGAAAAATAGCATGGTAATAAAAATCCCTTTGAATATTACAGATACAAGCCTAAAGGATGGTTTGTTCCATGAGTTCAAAAAGCATGGCAAAGTCACGTCTGTCCAGATTCACGGTGCTTCAGAGGAGCGGTACGGGCTGGTGTTTTCCGACAACAAGAGGACCAGGAAAAAGCACTGGCAGCTTCAAAAGGGAAGCTGTTTTTTGGGATGCAAATAGACGTAACTGCGTGGAATGGCCCTGGTAACAGTTTGCTCATTTGTAAGCCTGTCATGATAACAAATTTGGAAGTGCGATATATTGCCTAATTAAATATAGACAATAAACAGTACTACATAAACCAAACCCTAAAGCAGAATTACCCCCCAAAAAGCATTCCAAATATATGTTACTGTGAAATATATGATCTCTAATTTATAAATAATAGAATGCAACACTTAAGAAATTTGTATCTCATCATAGTATAGAAAAATAACCAAAATGTTTCCATTAGTGCAAAGAAAGACTACACACGATAAATATTGATCCCCAAAAATAATTGTTCCATGTAACATGTGTTGATCAATAAGTCGATATAGTAATTATTGTGTCAGGCCTACTCATTTATTAAAGCGCATAGCTATTTGGGCAAATTATGTCAGTGTGTTGATATGTATTTTCAGAAACTGAAAGTGAAAATGAGTTTCGACCCTTGGATGAGAGAATAGATGAATTTCATCCAAAGGCCACACGGACATTATTTATTGGAAACCTTGAAAAGACCACAACCTACCACGATCTGCTGAACATTTTTCAACGCTTTGGAGAAATAGTGGTGCGTTGTTTTTGCCAAGTTTGTTTGAGTCTCATTTATCTCAAAGATGTCAATAATAATTACCTGACCGTGCTCACATAATATGTTTCAGGATATTGACATAAAAAAGGTCAATGGGGCTCCACAATATGCTTTCCTGCAGTACTGTGACATTGCTAGTGTCTGTAAAGCTATAAAGAAAATGGATGGCGAGTACCTCGGTAACAACAGACTCAAGGTAAGAGAAAAACAAGGTTTACATTATATTTTAAGTCGCATTCAGGAAGTCACTGACTTTTATATTATACACAGATTGTTGATCTTTATAGACCAAATGTTCCAATAAATCTTTATGTTTCAGCTGGGCTTTGGAAAGAGCATGCCCACCACCTGTGTTTGGTTGGATGGATTAGCCTCAAACACGACTGAGCAGTTTCTCACACGCCATTTCTGCCGTTACGGACATGTTGTCAAAGTAAATACTTTTTCGTTATGTCTGTTACCTCTTCTCTTTTTGAGTACTTAGTAAATTTATAAATTTTAATTCAGATTAAAATTTATGAAATGTAATTTAAAATTTGCAGGTTGTTTTTGATCGCATGAAAGGAATGGCTCTTATCCTTTATAACAATATCGAATATGCACAAGCTGCTGTCAAAGACACAAAGGGTTGGAAAATAGGTGGTAGTAAAATAAAGGTATGTTAATATCTCAAATGTCCATACTAAAAGTGTTGAGCAACAATTAACCCATGCATTTTGTATTTTTAGGTCGATTTTGCTAATCAGGAAAGCCAGATGGCTTTCTATCGCTCCATGCAGGCTTCTGGACAGGATATTCGAGATTTTTATGATATAGTTTCTGAAAGGAGGTGTGTATCAGTCTCCTTAAAGTTGAATGTTGAGAGGGCACCATTGCATTTTATGTTGTTACATTAAATGTTTAGAGGAGTGGCATAAATATATATTTTTTAATGTCTTGGTATTTTGGTCTGCAGTAGGGACGGGCATTATCACAAGTTTTGGTAATGATATGATACCAAGTACTTTTTTCCGATACCGATACTGGTCAAACAGAACACCTGACATTGAAACTATTAGTCCAAAATGCTGGTGATGAAGGAACAATGAAGACATGACCCTAACAAGTTTAAAATTTATGCCAGCCTTAACTTTTTTTTTTTTTTTTTCAGGGACGACCGAAGAACTCAGTACGAATATCAAACTGAAAGAACATATTATGAAAATGTACGCACCTCAAGAACGTACACAGATGATCCAAGCCGAAAATACACCACAAGAAGTCGTGAATTCTACACTGAGTGGGATCCATATCAGGGAGATTACTATGAGACACAATACTTTGAAGACCCTCGAGAGTACAGAGAATACAGAGCTGATCCATATGAACAAGACATACGCAAATACAGCTATCTGCAACGGGAGCGCGAACGAGAAAGAGAGAGATTTGAAACTGACCGTGGACGTGATCATAATCGAAGGACAATCGAGCGAAGCCAAAGTCCATCGCACCTCACATCTCGGCGTCCTGCCAGTCCTGCTGCATCTCCACCCCTTTTAGAGAGAGTCCCAGGTGATCCAGATCGACGTGTCTGCTGTCGCTCTTCAGACAGAAGTGGGAGCTGCAGTTCCATCTCTCCACCAAGATTTGACAAACCTGAAAAATCACGCCTCGAAAGGTACAACAAAAGTGAAAAAGTCGAGAAAGAAAGAGTGTTTGAAACAGATCGAGGTATTTTGGTTGAAAAAGAGAAACGTGTGCATAAAGAAAGAGGTGACAAAGAAAAGCGACTTAAGAAAACTAAAAGTGGACCACCAGGACTTCAGGCTTGTGAGACAGAAACAGATCTGGATAGGGATACAAGCCCTGATACCGCCCTTCGAAACGACTACAACAAAAGTTCCAAAGAAAGTACAAGTAAAGGGAGACTTGACCTTCTGCCCTGTGTGGTACAGTTAACACGTGTAAAAGAAAAGGAGGGGAAATTGTTTAGTCATGCGCTTGAAAAATGCAAAGGTGGGAGTGACAGTAGTCCACAACTAGCATCTCCATTAAGTGAGCAAAGAAGCCCTCTATTCCATTCAGATTTATCCAAAGGCAATGTCTCCAAACATGGGAAAAACAGAGATGGGCCTATTCAAACTGTCGATAGAGATTTGAAGAATAAACCCAAAAAACATGGAAAGCCAGAAATGGGTTTTGATATTGCAACTGCTCTAGATGTCGACCGCTTAGCAGCAAGAAAAAGGCGCTTTGAGGACACTGGCCCAGTTGATAAACAGAAAAAGACTAGAGAGGATAATCCCAGTTATTCTAGACCCCAAAAAGTCTTCACAAAAGAAACTGAAGCTGACACTATGAAACTACATAAAAAGGAAAGCACCAAGGAAAGGTGTGTTCAAGAAGTTACTAAAAGTAGTCCTCAAAATAGAGAAGATTATGAAGGGTTGATAGATCTTGAATGTCAATCTCAACTGAGAGAGCACTGTAAAAACTCACCACACCGAAAACAAGTTTATGAAGGCTCAAAAGGTGATTCTCTTGTGAAATTGTCAAATGATTGTCTTGATAATGAATTGAAAGAACAAAAATATCAATTATCTGAAAATGAGCAGGGTAGAGGAAAATGGAGAGACTGGGAAGTTGGGAATTCTCTCTCTGACCAAAGCAGTATGTCTAATAAACAAACTGAACAGATTCAGTGGTTGATGCAAAAGCTTTCAGAGTCTGAAAAGTTAGATGTCAAGATGTCAAGCCAATTATTACCACAGATGGACAAAGAAAAGGACTGTGACAACAGTACAACATTTCAAAAGAAAACAGAAGATGACATTTCTACTCGTAACCAAAAGAAACCTGAGCATTTTGAATTTGAAAATAAAAGCTTTGAAAGTACCCAAAGGCCAAATGAGGATAGTTTTTTGACATCACCAACTGAAAGCAGTCATTATTCAGCCAATGCAGATGAAATTAGTCAGATTTCTCTTGCAATACTGAACAAAGAAAGAAAATCCCAACCAGGTGAGAACAAAGCCTCATCAGCAGAATCATTAAAAAGCAGATTTGGACGTTCATCCAGGTATTTTTCAAATACACACCCTGAGATGTCAAAACTTTGCTGTGATGAGGGCTTGATGCAACACTGGAATCAAAACTTTAAACCTGATGGTGAAGGAGAAAGGGGAGCTTTGACCTATACAGGTGCAGAACAGAGTGGAATTCAAAAACACCTATGCCAAGATTTGGAACCTGGTGAAGTCCAGTCTGACTCGGACGAAGAGTTGGACACTAAACAGTCTTCTCCTTCTTCAAACAGTTCATTGTCTTTTATCCTCAGGGAGAGGGATGAGAGAATGACAGATGTTAAGTTATCATCTTCTTTGGAAAAGAATAAGTTTTACTCTTTTGCATTGGATAAAACTATAACTCCTGATACAAAGGCACTCTTAGAAAGAGCAAAGACGTTGTATTCTACAAGGGAAGATAATTGGTCATTTCTTCCCTCACGGTTCCCAACCTCCCATAGCTGTTCAGAGAAGGATAAACAAGAACTAGCTCCTCGACCGATCCCCTCTTGGTATATGAAAAAGAAAAAGGTACGCACAGATTCAGTAGAAAATATATCCAGTAAAACTGAAGAACTTAAATCACAAGACCCAGAGCGCCAAGAACTGTTTGCGTCTCGCTTCCTGCATAGTTCCATATTTGAGCAGGACTCACGACGTTTGCAGCATCTTGAACGTAAGGATCAAGAAATAGTGCCAGGGGTTTGTAAAATTGTAAAGCCACATAGGACAGAGGTCAAATCTAAATCAACTGTTGGTGGAAGTCCACAAGAACCTATTGTGCTTTTCCATAGCCGTTTTCTAGAGCTTCAACAACAAAAAGACAAAGATAATTCTTCAGAAAATGAATTTGTGACTGATGTGAAGAGAGATGGAGAAGTGCAAAAGGAAAAGAAAGAAACTGAGTCAGCCATGATAGGTGAAGACAAACCATCTAGTCCTCAGTTAACCTTGACTCTTTGTACCTCTGTTCCCTTAAGTAAAGAGTCTACATTACAGCCTGTTGAAACCCAGGCCACAGATCAAACCGTAAAAGTAGAGAACATAGATTTGGAAGCCTCACCTCCTGTCACATCACATGAAGTAAAACAAATGGCTCCCAAGGTTACTACAATTCATTCCCCTGTTGAGTTAGAACTCAGTTCTGACTCTCTGACAAAACAGAAGGAAATCAAAAAAGAAAGAGAACAGATTTTGTCAGAAGAAACTGTTGAAGAAAGATCAACCAATGTTGAAAAGAGAAATACAGAAATTACAGATTCTGATTTCATAACTGAGAATAAACCTGAAGCTGTTAAGAGTGAACTCAAATTAGATCAAATAGCACGAGAAAAAGAGGAAACAAAACAATCACCAAAAATTGAAGAGGACACTGAAGAAGTGCCAGAGCCTGACACGGAAATCAAACCTGTAACTAATCGCAGACAGTCTAAAAACAAGCGATCCAAACCCGTTTCAGTGTCTCGAACATCAAAAGCTGCCAGTGAAAAACCAGCCACCCGGAAAAGTGAGCGCATTGATAAGGAGAAACTTAAAAAAGCAATGTCACCTCGAGCAGAAGCCAAACCAACTGAAGTTAAAACTGCAACCAAATCTCCAAATCCCCCATCTGATTCTGAACAAAAAGTGGAGTCAAGCCTTATCCATGGTCGAACTCGTCGTAGAAATGTAAGATCAGTTTATGCCACACTGCGGGAGGTTGGTGAAGAGACTCCTCCATCTCGATTAACTCGTAAAAGAGCTGCTTCTAAGGATCCCCTACAAGAAACTCCACTTCCTGTTTCCAGGCGGGGACGTCCTCCGAAAAGAGGACTTAAACGAGGTGAAGATTCATCAATAACAAAACTGGATGAAAAAACAACATTGAACAACACAGAGGTCACAGATACAGATGCAGAAGTCATTAAAGAACCAGAGGGTTTGCAGCCAGTCTCCCAAAGAATATACAGTGCCCCAAATCCGGCTGGCGAGAAGAAAGGAATTAAAACAGGTCCTTTGAAGAAGGCAGGTAGCAAAGCTTCCATAGATGATACTGATGAAGAAAATGAAAAGCCAGAACCCAAAAGTACTGAATCTGAAATGCCGGGGAAGTGTTTAGAGAAAACTGAAAACTTGACTATTTTGAGCAAGAAAGAAAAGGATTTCAGTGCACATAAAGTGGAACAAACTGATGTTGAAAATAATGCAAATCTGCCAGAAAAGCAACCAGCAAAGAGCGGCAAAACCAAGACAGCTTGGGTCAAACGAAACATGAAACTTGAGGAAAGATCACACAATCTGAAAAATCTTGAAATCCGTGTTAGTGTTGATGATGTTAAAGGTTTGCTTCGTTCAGAAGATAATGAGCAAGAATCATTTCAAACTTCAATTCTTAAAACAAAAATGGTAATACAGGAAAAGACTGAGCCTGAAATGATAAGCAGTGATGATCAAAACCTTGGTCTGGAGAATAAAGATGAGACACTGTCTGAATCTGAGCTTAACACAGATCCAACTGCTGCTCTTTTAGCTCGACAGAAAGAACTAGAACAAGCTGTTGAAAATATCGCTAAACTTGCAGCTGAGCAGCCTGCCCGCACTTATAAGGAATCTGCAAATGCAACTACTACAGTGTTGCCTCCAGTCAGTGTGGAGCCAGAAGAAGCTGAGGAAGAGAAGAGAGCCAATCCTGCGAGTGAAACTGAACTTGCTGCAGCTATTGATTCTATCACTGCTGAAGTAAGTTCTGCAGAGGGAGATGCATTCACTACTACTTCAACTTACCCTGCTGTAGTACCTACCTCTGGTTCTGCAGCACCATCTTCATCAAGTGAGATTACAGAACCCGAGGCGCATGTAGCAGTCTCCAATGTTGCGCCACAATCAGACAATAGATGTCCAACACCTAGTCAAGGTTCCACTCTTCATGAAACACTCAAGAAAACAGGTAAAGTTCAGACAAAATCCCCAAAGAAGCCAAGAGGACGCAAAGCTACCAAGAGGGAGGATATGGCTGCTAAAGCTTCAGACCTTCAGCCCTCCCCATCAAAGCTACCTGAGTCAATTCCAGAAGACCCTGAGACTCCTAATTCAATGACAGTTACCACAGGGACTAGTGCTGCGGCCACTGTTGTAACTGCTGTTGCAACTTGCCGGCGAGATGTCACAAGTTCAATCACAGTTGACACACCCAAAGAGGCAGAGAAGCCTGAAGTAGAACAACCTGTGCCTAAAGAATCTGCCTGTCACTCTGGTACCTTTCATGTTTCTACATTTAAAAATCAACCCGTGGTGACGGAGCATCCAACCATTTCTCAAGATGCTGATCTACCGCCTGCCCCTCAGCACAATTTATCTCAAAGAGTCCCTAAAATGTCCCACTGGACTCCAAAATCTGAGGAAAGCAGAATGTATGTTCCTCCACCATGTCATGTCACTGTTGTAACACCCTCTATACCATCAACTGCCCTTGGAAATACTTCAGCAAATCCTCCACTCCCCCCTGATACCAAGGCATCAGATATAGATCCTAGTTCTAGCACCTTAAGAAAAATTCTCATGGAACCAAAATATGTATCTGCGTCAAGCACGTCCACTATGAGTACCACCACCACAACCACTTTAGTCACATCGACTCTTTCTGATCCTTTGAGAATGTCAGAGAAACCTGCCCCATTGTACTCTGAAGAAAGAACTGCACCTTTTCAGCCAATTCATCACAAACCATCCCCTCTAACAGAATCCCAGCAAAATTACAGAGATAAGCCACAAAATACAATCATTCCCTCTCCCACTACCTCCGTAATCAGTCGAATTCCTTTGCCCTATGACACAGAGGACACTCCGAGAATATCCTTGAGTGGCCGAAACGTTAGTCAAACTTCTCCTAGGCCGAAACATAGAACCAACTCAAATGAGAACACTCGCTATCACAGCATAGGCACAGTAGAGGATGGAAAGAGGGGACGTTTACTTAATGATGCATTCACCACCGCCTCTGTCCCTGGACTGAGGGTCAACACATCTGAGGGTGTTGTTGTGCTGAGTTATTCAGGGCAAAAAACAGAAGGCCCACAAAGAATGAGAGCTAAAATTAGCCAAATTCCACAGGCCAGTGTTGTTGATGTTGAGTTTCAACAGCCTACTTCAAAGTCTCAGACTAAGCAAGAAGCATCTCAGTTGTCCTCTCCAAAGGCTGTACCTAGTCCTTTGGCGTATGGACACACTGGTGGTCAGGCATACAACACTCAAAATGTCATTACCACTACTAAACAAAACAGTCCTGATAAATTAGACGCACCGTATCACACATCCTCTCAAGGCGGTGTGGTAAAAATGTTCCAGCAGCCTGGGAGTTCTCCTCAGGTGTTATATAACCAACCTGTCATCCAGCAGCATGGTAAAAGAGTACTGGGGCATGAGCCACCACCAAAAAAGATCGACTCAACTGGCAAAGTTCTTCAGACACACAACGTTAGCCCAGTCATGTGCCCACCACATGCACCTCTGTCAGGAACATGCATTAGTCCCAGCCCTGGAATACCAACTGACAGGTCAGTCTTACAAGGGAATCAAGAACCTCTGTCGCCACGCAGCACTGTGCAGTCCCCTCCTCCATATCATAAAGGCTGTTCACTCAGCAACTCTCCCATTGGTTCATCTGTTTTAGGTCACAGTGTATCATCGTATCCTACTATACACCATACACACTCAGAACAGTCTTCCGTTATAATTCAACCTCACAGTGTCTCTCATGCACTGGCTCACTCTGCCCGAGCAGACCAGAGAGCTATATCTGGAATAAACTATGGGAAGAGAAGTGACTCTCATTCCTCTTCCAACCCAGGACCTTCACAGCGCTCAAATGCACCACAATCTAATGTCATCCATAATATGGTGCTACAATCACATTTAAGTCCAAAAGGGTCCGTACTGAGCGCAGGAGTTAGTGGTGCAAATGAAGATATTTCCAGGCATTTAAATCAAGCCACCAGTAGGCACTCGGCATCCCAGTCCCAGCCAGATGTGACTATTATTCACAGTGAACACAGAGCGCTGCACACAGGGGCGCGCATGGATCAGTATAGAGACATGCACCAAAGGATGCTTATGCACCAGCAGCTGGGGGAGCAGGCATCAGCAGAGGTCAGGCAGCTCTGCTCCACTGATATTGGCACATTGTCTTCAAACCACATCTCTCAACCTTTAAAAAGTTCTATCGTGTCCAAGGGCATTGACCTCACGATTAAAGGAACGGACAAACAACCTGAAGGGAAACTTATACAATCACCACCCAGTGACAGTCGGATCAGGGGGGTACAAGTGTCCAGTCCAGTCTTCAGTCATCCCCATGGAGTCAAGGTCATACAGCCAGGTGCTCCAGGCTCCTTTCCAGTCTACCAAGACATGCAGGCTTTCCCAACACAGTTTACTGGACATCTCCCATATCACAAAATGGCTACTTCACAGGTGAGTGAAATACATTTTTCTTTCATAAACTACTCAATGTTGGTAAGATATTAGACGATACCTTTTTAATTTTGGAATGGTTCACTCCTTCAGGTTCCAATGCAGACTGGCCTTGGACACCGAAGTAAAGTTTCTCATCCTCATGGAGGAGGAAGTAACCCCAAACCTGACACTTCACACCTGCTCCATGCTACATCTACAGACTACTCCCACATCTCACGAATGCCTGGAGACACAATCTCACCCTCCTACCAGTCCCCAATGTCTTCACCTATAATGTCACCAGTGGGACTGAACCACAAACCAGAGGCTTCTGTTGTGAAACAACCTTCTCTTCTGCGAACCCCTTCACCAGCTGTACCTCCCAGTCCAATCCAACACCAAGAAACCAAGCAGGAACACACTGGACATCGCTCCTTTGACATGATGCAGCTACTCACGGTATTGTATCATATTATATCATAGATGAGTTAAGGAAATCAGTGTTATAATTAGTGTTTTTCCCCCAGAAATATCCCATTGTGTGGCAAGGGCTTTTGGCACTTAAAAATGACCAAGCTGCAGTCCAACTGCACTTTGTATCTGGGAACACACTGCTGGCTCAGCGCTCCCTGCCCCCTCCTGAGGGAGCACCCCTTCTTCGTATTGTCCAGAGAATGAGACTCGAGGCCTCTCAGCTGGACAGTGTGGCACGCAGAATGACTGTGAGTGTGCTTGAGGGATCTGAATTTGGTTTTGTAATTAATAAATTAAATTATATTAATAAATGTTGTTTCTTCTGCGGCAGGTGGAGAATGACTACTGCTTACTATTAGCTCTACCTTGTGGTCGAGACCAAGAAGATGTCCTTAGTCAAACCCATGCATTGAAAACTGGCTTTATTACCTACCTTCAAGCAAAACAGGCTGCTGGCATCATCAATGTTGCTAATCCTGGCTCCAATCAGGTCCGCTTCAGTGTTTTTTTTAGAGTTTTTAATCACCCTCTCTACTTTATTTGTTGTGTAAGGTTAAGATATAATGAAAGCGTGGTAAAAATGGACAGGAGTTTATCCTAAAATTTAAAATGTAAATTGTAAAAATGCACAGAAAATGCTTGAATGTGTGTACTTGTGACTTACATTACCTGTGTTTCACAGCCAGCCTTCGTGGTGCAGATCTTCCCTCCTTGTGAGTTCTCAGAGAGTCATCTGTCTCTTCTGGCTCCAGATCTGCTCAACAGCATTTCCAGTATTTCTCCTCACCTCATGATTGTCATTGCTTCTGTTTAATTACCTTTGGTTTATCTGGAAGAAAGCCAACACCAGCCCTTTTGGACTAATCCGATGAAGAAAACTGCCTCATATTTATATGAATTTGAATTTTTAAGAATCAGCATGCACCTCTCCCTCACTTCACCAAGTCCTTAATTACCCCTGTGACAATGTTTTTCAGAATGGGGACTTGTTCGTATTGGTCATTAAATTTTTTGTCATTTTAATGTAGTTAAGCATAGCTTTTTTATAATTACTTGCACCAAGAGGCTACGGACTGGGATATTGTATGGGAGGTTTTTCTGACATTCATAAAGTGTGTTTGTTTTAGTTTGAAACAATGTGATAAATTCTTGCACTATGTTGTGACAGCTGTGTACAGCTCTGGGTCTAAAATATCCATGTTTAAGTCTGCCATTTGTGCTTTTGTTCTATCTGCCAAATTTTATTTGATTTTACAATTAACTCCTCAATTGTTCCCATCCACTGAAACTCTCAAGGGACATTTTGGAGTTGTATAGTTTACACTTCAATGCCTCAAGTGGGGGATGAGGGGAGGGGGTTCTGACCATATATTTACTTGTAAATAGTCTACATATTTAAAGATGGACACAACGAGTGAAGAGAGACAGATCATGTAATCGTTTTATTTCTATAGCTGTGGGGACAGGGACAGAAAAGATGTATTGGGATTTTAAGGGATTATCAAATATTTGTAATTTTATTCTGTGCCAAAACATTTTTGCAAAAAAAGTTCAACACATGCAATGTACTGTAAGTTTGGAAATGTACTTATTTTCATATGTGATTTTACGGCCCGTAAGGCACTTACTTTTGTATTTAATATGTTTATTAACTGCTAAATTTCATCATTGACTTTGTGTTTGCATGTCCCTAATTTAACGTTGTTCTGTACCGCCCTCTACTGTTGGAAAACCTCTTTACAAAAAACTCCTCATCTACAGCTCAGAGACGCTGCATGCTTTTTATCATAATGGTTATAGACTCTCTAACAGACAAGAATGTGACTTGATATTATGCCGCTATTGGATGTGTTCTTAATCTTTATCTCACTCACTGTCTCTTTGAGCCAAACTGTACATAGTTGTTCTTAATCTGTGCTCTTGTCTACTTTACCTTTAGCCTATTATTTTCTTTCAGGGTTCTTACTTTGGTTTTGTCAAACAAAACAAAGTATTTCTGAAAGAAGGGGTGATGTTTCAAACCGATGTTGAAAGTAAATTACGCTTGTCAGTTTTTGTGTAAATATGAATTTCTTTAACTGCAAGCCGATTATGCTGGTTCATGGTGATGGCACTTAAAACTTTTTTTTTGTATAAAATGACTCAAAAAAATATACAAAAAAAAAATGTATAATATAAATCTGTCTTTGATCAATCTTAAACTTGAGTGTATTTTGCTGTTCCTCTATGAGGACATTTTAACCTGTAAAAAACTGTTGTTTAAATGCAGATCATTAAATGGTTCATTAATCAGATAATTTCTGGCATCCCATAATGTTTTACCGTACTTGTATAGGGCTGCTGCTGAACTACCTATCTCATAAATCACTTATAAAGATGAAAGACACAAGGTTGACACTTGTTTGAGATCCTGCATCATACATACAAAACCAGACCCAAACAACACTCGCAGCCTACTTCACGACTTCTACCAAACTCCACACAAGAATATCAACTTTTTTTTTTTTTTTTTTTTGTGCAAATAAAGGACAAATAATATTCAGATGCTCTATCATTGTGTTTATAAAATGTATACTGGACCTAAGATTAAAACTCCTGAACTTATTTTTGCTGAATCGAGAGCTTGAGAGATGAAGCTGCAGTATACTTATTATGCACCAGAGGACAGTGTCTGACAGCACTTGCATTGCTGTAGTGACTCATGACTCAACAAGAACTGATCCTTGGGTACATCTGCAGTGGGTGGAGGTCTGCAACCAGCTCGCTCTCCTGGATTCTGACATCCTGAATCCTGTGTGTTACTAAAATCATTTAGCTTGCAGAATACCATTCTAAAGAGCCAATATTTTGCAAGAAATATTTACACTGTCTAACTTCAGATTTTGACCCAGTTAGTTAATGGTTAATATCACATTTTACTTGGTTGATCAACACGATAGTTCTATTCACTATAATCATTAAAAATCACTAAAAGAATTGCAAAACTGCAACTGTAGCCTGGAAACTTATTGTTTTATAAAAGGTATTATATAATCACAAGTGGACCTGGGTTACCAGTGTCTTACCTGCTAAAGATTTTTGTAGTTTATATCAATTTAAAGACAAGCCATCCCTCGTGTGAAAGCTCAGGACCTCACTGAGCTGCAGAGATTGCTTTGATGAATGATTGCCTGCAAGTATTGGGGTTTAGATGTCTACTGCATCAACTGGATCTGAGCTTTGCAAACTGTCAACTCAAATAAGACACTCATTTAAGGTTAATTACCTCCGCCAAGGAGGTTATGTTTTTGCCGGCGTTTGTCTGTTTGTTTGTTTGTTTGTTTGTTTGTTTGTCTGTTAGCAACATAACTCAAAAAGTTATGGACCGATTTTGATGAAATTTTCAGGATTTGTTGGAAATGTGAAAAGGAAGAACTGATTTCATTTTGGGGGTGATCCGGAAGAAATCCTGGATTCTGGATCACTTTGAAATTTTAGTTAACATTGTGGTAAATGGGGCCAAAAAATTTGTTTCTCAATATCTCGGTTAATTATTGACCAAACCCCATGAAATTTGACTCAGGGATGGACAATGGGATCCTCTTTCATATTCCAAAGGCTGATCCGGATCTGATCCAGAAGACTGATTTTATCGCAATTTATATAAAAAATGGGGGTAGTCCTTGGCGGAGGTCTGCGCTCTCTGAGTGCTTTTCTAGTTAAGAATAAATCAGCATTATCCTTATTATACATTATACTCTGGGGAAACTGTTAGCACATTTGTGGATTCAAAGTCAAAATCTTACATACAAATCATTTAACAGGATCCATGTACCAGTAGTTCATTTGATTTTCAATTAAGAACGAAAAACAATTAAATGGAAAAACAGTTTGTTATTTCATTATTCTGTTTTAGCGTAAAACAAACAAGATTTCGAATATTTAATTTAATGTTTATTTCAAATAGCACCAATCAAAAACAGTCTCGGTGCCTATTTTAATTTTGATATTTTATTCTCTCTGGTTTATTTGCTCCGAAAGCTCTGCTGCTAGAAGGAATTACTTGAAAAATCATTGCAATTTTGCGAACAAACATGTCTTCCTCCTTTATAGTGACACGCTTACAAAAAAAAGTAAATGTTGAACTCCATGACGAGAAACTAGTAGTAGTGATAAACTTTGTTCAGTTGACACCATAGAATTATAATAAAAATAGTTTTTTATTATAGACCTATGGTTGAACAGCAGAACTTCCAGGACAGACAAACCAGAGAGAATAAAATATTATCAAAATAAAAAATAGTCACAGAGACTTTAAACTTTAAATTAAATATTGAAAATAGAGGTCAAAATCTTTTTTTTAAATTTTATTTTTTTTTATTTTTGACACTAAAATAGAATAATGAAATAACAAACTGTTTTCCCATTTTACTATATTTCGTTCTTAATTGAAAGGATGAATGGTACATGGACCAGAATACAGAATACCCTCTAGGCTTATTGCATTATGGACATTTTTGACTTCTGTGTTTTTATCATCCAGTCTATTATAGGGAAGAGCAGTTTTGTGTGCTGTGTCTAGAAGTGTTGCTTGGATGGTGACAGAAAAACAAATTTTTGCAAACTGTGTCTCGTTCTGACACTACGACCAGGAATGTTACAGATAGTAGGCCTACGTTGCCAAGGAGCCACAGGACAAGGCCGAGATGGCTTCATTACACAGTATAGGTTATGCATGTTTTGGTGATTATAGTTCAGCCTGACTCCCATTTTAAAGCTGTGTCATACTTTTAGCTTCTGCCACAAAATGTCACTGGGAGAGTCCAAGTTTAGCCATATAATGTTAGGAATGTTGACAACTTGCATTTGTGATAAGTATATGTTTTAGGACTGGCTTTGAACAATTTATACTTACAGGGTAAAAGAAACGATGCTAAAAATGTTAATAATCTTAAACTATTGTGTGGGCAATGATATGATTTTCCACAGCATAATTTCCTGCCCATTTTTTATGACACCATATGAATATTAAAGGTGCACGGCATAACATTTTTAGTGGAGTGTTCGCCAACTTCTTGACTCCATGGAAATGTTATTGCGTTGTCTAGAATCTTCCACAGTGTAGATTAAAGGAACAGACCAGAATTTTGGACAGAGGACTTCATTTCCTCGTGAGCCAGAGTGTTGGAGACGTGTGGAGACACTTTTTAAAATATTCCATCCAGTCCTTGTATTTGCAGAGGTCGATGGTGCTAGGCTAGCACATGTCAATGGTCAAAGTTAGCCTGACATTAAAAACAGTCTTACCCACTCTACAAAACACCTGAAGCCAAACCATTATTACACCAGACACCACTATTACACCAATAGAAACATTTTAGACGTAAAACCAACCTTGCATTTGAAGGATTTATGTCTGAGCAGCAGCGAGTTGTACTTACTGATAGAAAGTTTGGCAGTGGCGGACTGATATCACCTAGCACCTATCTTGCAGAGAAAATAGTCCCTCAACATGCGATGATTCATGCGATGCAAGGTTAGTTTTATTTCAAACATTATTCTGTCAACACAGACATTTACATCGATATTCTGGCGTAATAATTGTTTTGCTTTGGGTGTTTTGTGGAGTGTGTAAGACTGTTTTTAGTGGCAGGATAACTATGGCCATTGACATGCACTAGCCTAGCAGCAGCGACCTCTGCAAATACAAGGACTGGATGGAATATTTTAAAAAGTGTCTCCACACGTCTCCAACACTCTGGCTAACTAAGAAATGAGGTCCTATGTCCAAAATTCCAGGCTGTCTCTTTAAACAAGTTTATCACAACGGAGACAAGCATCTTACAGCATAATGCTACGTTACAATTCAGATTTGTGGAGAATTGATGTATTTTTGAGCAACAGAAACACCCACAATGAGTAAATACTAGATAAATATGTTTAAATTCATACTATGGAACATTCTAGGCAAGTATGTAGTAAACCCTGCACCAGAAAAGTTGCGCAGTGCACCTTTAAGGAAAAAAAGGTGTCTCTATATTGTTTTGCTGACAGGCCATGCTTTAACATTACAAAATAACTCAGATATGTGGGTATGTTTCGCTGTATCAGTCAAAAGTTAGCAGAAATGACTAAGCAGATCCCTTGGGAACATGTGTAGGCCGGGTTTACAAAGACATAGCTCTGCATTGCTAGCATTTCACAGGCATTACGACACTCATGTTCTTCTATCCTGTTTCCACCCACACAATTCTGGGCAGAGCGTACAGGTGTGCTTCATATTTGTTGAAAGCAAGCTTCAACAAGCCACATTTGAGGTCTTTTTTTTTTTTTTTTTTTTTTTTTAACAAGTGGCTACTGCATAAAAAATATACCTCTGTTACACAATATCAAATGCGGGGGAAAAAATGGTGTACCACAGGGTTCGACTCTTGGCCCCCTTTTATTTTCAATTTTTACTAACAACTTTCTTCAAGTGTGTGTACAAACTGTCATCTACTGAATATGCAAATAATAGTTTTCTCTATTTTTCAGGCTTCAACTCAACTCAAAACAACTCAATAACTATGCTGATTTATCCACAAACACAAGAGACACAAGGTTCCTTTTCAACTGATGCTTACGGCGGTCTTTGTTGGCGTCACAGTTCACATCGTAGAACTAGCAAACATATACAATAAAACATAAGCTCTGGCTCATATTATATACACACAAAGTTACATATTAACACATAAAACATGCATACCACTTTGGCCTGCTAGTAAACAAACCAGTGAACTAAAAACTTTTAAGATTCACTTCACAATTGTTTCTCGATTAGTGCTGTCTGGTCCGACTTCGCATTAATGTAAAATAAAACTGGGACAGGAAGTGGTTATTGACATTAAACTACACTTAGAATAAACAATACAAAATTTAATAGTATTGCTAATATATAGCCTTATAAAAGATTAACAAATAATGAGAAACCAAATATAAAACTGTATAAAAGAAAATAAGTGAAATAATCTCTCTCACATGAATTTTAAGTATTTTAAGTACCCATCTATGGGTATAACAAGTAAACTGTTACACATATTGTGAACTGTGACAACAACATCTTCTTTGTATATGCTTTATATGCTTTTTG